GAATGATAATACATCCTGCATATCAGATATTTACATTATGATTCATAACAATAGCAAAATTACAGTTATGAAGTAGCAATGAAAATAATGTTATGGCTGGGAGCCACCACAACATAAGGAACTGTATTAAGGGGTTTCAGCACAAGGAAGGTTAAGAACCACTGATCTACAATATTGACTTAATGCAATTTGATGGCAATTTAACTGCCATGGGTTAATGGTATGGAATGCTGGAATTTGTAGTCTGTGAGGCACCATCGATCGTTGGCACAGAAGGCTAAAGACCTTGTTGAACTACAGCTCCCCTGATTCCATGGCATTGGGCCATGGCAATTCAAGTGGTGTCAAACTGTATTAATTCTGTAGTGTAGGTGCACCCACAGGGGGTGCAAACTTCATAGGGCGAAAGCATCAGAGGGGCTGACATTTTAATGACTTCTATAAAATTTTTGTGGACTATTTCAGCAGATTTTTTCAATAAAAACTTCCCTGTAGTTATATATAACCACAACATACTTTCATAAACCCAGCTTACGTTTACTATGTCAATATATTTCCAAAACTAATTTACTTTTTGAACTTTCTAATGGAGATGTGACTTGTCAGGGATGTCATTATTACCCATCCACAATGTCTCTTCAGATCATGTAATTTCATCCAGATGCACTGTATATAGCCTTTGTTACTGCTGGTTTTTTTAGGAACAACTTTTTTGGTATTTTAGCTATAAAATTGTAGTTTGGTCTGGTATGGGAGGACTTCCATAGGAATAACACCATGACTTATGCAATGATAATGGGACTGGTGCCAAGGCTAGATTCCTTTGTACTTTCAGATTCTTTCGGATTTCTGGATTCCCGTAAAGTGTACATCTCTTTCCAAAGAGCCCTGTGTAAATATTATAAATATGAAATAAAAATTAAATGGTGCTTGAAGTACACATGTTAAAGATGAGTGATTTGAAGATTATTTAGGTCTACTCATAAGCAAATATTTTGAGTACTGACACAGGGTATAGGAAACAATAGAACCAAGCAACTTCCTCTTTCTGTACCAGGAAATGGAATCTGATTTTGCAAACCATGTGGGAATTCATTTTATGATTCTGTTGACATTCAGTACCAATCTTTCATGCACTTGCATGTGTCCTCATGTGTAAGCAATTCTTGTTTTTTCTATGTCAAAAAAATCTTCATACTTTTTAATATATGAGCAAGAGAGAAAAAAGAGGAAAGGGTAAAAAAGGATGAGAAAAGCAAAGAGCAAGAGAAGTCAAATTTATTGATTTATTTGGACTTTTCCCAAGTCTTGCCTCTTCTTTGTGACTCCTTTGTGACTGACAAACTGTCAAAGCAATATATATATATCTCTCTCTCTGTGTGTGTGTGTATGTGTGCACGCACACACAGTAGAACATCAGCAAATGTAATAGCTATAAATCGAGCCCCACAAAGAATAATTGAACAAAACAGAAAGGATAAATGTATCTGAAAGTTTCTCCAGGCACTACAGTATTGTGGGTACAGAACAGTCCCAAACAACCATCTTTGGGGAGGACATTGATGTAGAGTAGTACAAGTGAGTTGCCACTTCTCTTTTCTCTGAAATCAACCAGTCTGGGAGAAAGATCATAGCAATATGGGCTTGCACTCAGGACCTACCTTCTGTCAATGGAGGGAAAAGTGAGACCTGTGGATGACATGAGGACTTTGGGACTTAATCTTACGGTGTCTGAACCATGGCATTGGGCCATGGCAATTCAAGTGGTGTCAATACTCTGACACCCTCAACGCTCTGCCCTTAAAATACCCCAGCCATTTTTTTGGCAAATAAATTGGCAAAGAGAGAATCTGCTACAAAATATTGTGGTGCTGTTATCTATGCACCCTTCCAATATCAGAGAAAAGTGTAAAATCAGTTGTCATTTGCATTTAATCCAGTTATGTTGAGAGTAATGGTGTGCCAAACCAGCTAATATAATCAACAGTTAAATCCAGATTCAGACAAAGATCCTGTACGCCAAAGTGTAGCATACTAGTTCTATAAGAGAAACTATGTTATGTTTCTCTCTCAGAAAAGAACATATCCATTTGCGTATTTCTCGAGTGTTAGTACTATAACTTTTTATTGTGGCAAGGTAGGCAAAATAAGAATAGTCCAGGGAGCTGGAATTGGCAAGGTGGTTATAACTGCCAGTCTGTAGTGGCTGGTTGCTCCAATGACTGCATAGCACTGAAGATATGCCAGGTTTTTGACAGGAATTTAATAGAGCTATCTAAATTCAAAGTGCTGACTTTAGTTTACAAAACCCTAAATGGTACCAGCTCAACTTACTTTTCCGAACATATCTCCCTCTATGAGCCATCACGGAGGTTAAGACCTTCAGGGGAGGACCTGCTCTCGGTCCCACCTGCTTTGCAAGTGTGGTTGATGGGGATAAATACTATAAACAAACAAACAAACAAAAACAAATAAAAATTGGCTCTATTTTGGAGATAGCTCATTTAAAGTTTGGATTAAAAGTGGAATGGAATCTTCACTGAACTGACACTGAAGCCATTAGTCATTCTTGCTGGTAATACCAAACTAATGTTAGGTCTTACCAAACTAACATAGCATTTCTGATAAAATCAAAATTTTGTGAACGAATTTCAAAGACATAGCACTAACAGAATAAATGGTCACACAATGAGTCTGATATAAAATGATCCTAGGCAGCTACTCTTTGTCCTTGCAGAAGAATAGTTTCTTTGATCTGACTAGAGAACCTGTTTTTCATTATACTCTTCCTTTTTCTCAGAAGAAAGTTTTAGGCAGCAAACAGGGTAGGAAGGTTATCGCTAGAACTTCTAAGATGTCTTTGATGCATTTCAGTTTTGTACATTGGGAAAAAAGTAGACTAAGTACTCTGTTCATCTTTATTCTTTGATCAATTATGTTGTGAACACATGGAAAGTATGAAGTACTTGAAATGACCCCTGTAACGTCAGGTCATATTTGGCACTGCCCAAAACATGTCAAAAGGGAGGGTCATTTTTCCTGGAAATACTTGAAAGTATTCTCCCAAATATCAATCAATAACTGTCCAGTCTCCATCAAAATAATAAATTGTATAAATAACATAAGAAGGGACCTGTAGGATTAGACCCAAACTCTATATATTCTAGCATTCTGTTTCTATACTGGGTAAAATAGAACATGGGGGTTTAGCTATATTGTGAGAGATAAAACGTGGGCATTGCTCCCTCAAAAAAAAACCAACAAACCTGTGTCTTATCAAGTGTGTGTGTGTGTGTATAGCCCATCGGCTGTATCAAAACATTTAACAAACACATTTAACACATACACATACAGAATACGAGGGGCTGCTGATAAGTCTTTGGCTTTGTGTTCTTGTTTTGTTTCAGTGGTAACTAATGTTACATCACATGAAAGCCTTATGTGTCTAATATATGTTTTCAAAATTTTGTGTTTGTAGTTTATAGCAACAGTGATCTAGGCACGCAGGAAAACAAAATGGCGGAGTCTAGGGTGATACTCACAGCAAATGAGAGCAGAGGAGTGATAAAATTCTTTTTTCTGCAAGGGAAGTCCATGAAGGATATTCATGGTGATAGGTCGCAGACATAGGGGGATCACTGCCCTTCATATTCTACAGCTAAGAACTGAGTTGCCAAATTTAAAATGGGCCTCTTCAGCACCAATGATGAGGAACGTCCTGGACAACTGAGAGTGGTTGTTGTTCAAAAGATCGTTGATGCCGTGCACAACCTCATACTGAAGAATCGGTGAATTTCAGCTAAAGGAATAGCAGACATCATGGGGATTTCTCGTGAATGTATTTGTATAATTATCGATGAACATTTGAACATGAAGAAGCTGTCTGCAAAGTAGGTCCCCAAATGTTTGACAACAGATCAGAAAAGCATGCGAATGAAAACTTCCTGGTTCATTTGTCAGCGTTTCCGGACTGATAAGAACTTCCTGGATTGCCTGGTCACTATGGATGAGACCTGTATTTATTTGTATGACTCTGAAACCCAGGAGCAGTCAAAAGAGTAAAGGAATAATGGTTCTCCTCATCCAAAGAAGTTCAGGGTGCAAAAATCAGCCACTATGGTGATGGCATCTGTGTTCTGGGATAAGGAGGGCGTATGGCTAGTGGACTACCTTCAAAATGGTTCCACCATCAATGCAAGGTATTACACCGAACTTTTGGACCAATTGAAGGCAGGCTGTCCAAAGGTCCACAATTGGCACCAAGTGGTGCTTTTGATACCAGAAACATAATTCAATTGTCCTAAAAGAACAACACTGTATGCAATGATGACTGGCCTATGTGTCTGACTGGCCTGTGTGTCTAAAAGGATTATGAATATATCTTTACTTCTCTGTATAATGTAATAAATAGCTAATCCTTTACTAGTCTGGATTTCCAGTGTGACCTCCCTACAACTGGCATGTGATTGTTTACTAACTTGAACTCTTTTTGAAAAGCATGTCTTTTATAACTGTCCGAACGCATCTCCCCCTATGAACCATCATGGAGATTAAGACCCTCTGAGGTGGCCCTGCTCTCCATCTCGCCATTGTCACAGGCGTGATTGGTGGGGATGAGAGAGAGGGCGTTCTCGGTGATAGCCCTCTGGCTATGGAACTCCCTTCCTGGTGAGATCAGATCGCCCCCCTCCCTCCTGTCCTTCAAAAGGATGGTAAAAACTTGGCTCTGGGACCAAGCTTTCGGGGCAGTGCAATAAAGCAGTGATAGGAAACCTTACCAGGCCAATTAGATAAGACGCCGATGATCAAAACAGTGTATTTTAATGTTGAGACAAATGTTTTTAATGTTTATGTATGCATATAATGAATTCATGTCCCAGCATTGAATGTTCACCTTTTTTATGTTGTGCTCCACCCTGAGTCCCCTTCGGGGTGAGAAGGGGGGAATATTTAAATAAAGATGTAACATTCTAATGAACACTCTTATAATTTTTCCCCAGGGATTTCTTTGCAAAATTCAACCTGCTTGTGAGTATAACTATTTTTTTTTCCAAAAAATTGATAAAATGTTCATAGTTTCTGTGCATAGTTGGTCACCTAGTGGCAAACCTTTATGATGATTTAGCTTTGTGAAAAGAATTGGCGGTGGACAAGGCAGAGCAAAGGGGAGTCATTTTTCTTTCCTCTCCTCTGCCATTTGACTTCACTAGAGTGTTTCAGGTGTACCAGAAGTGATGTAATGTTACTACTGAATGCTATTTTGTCTGATTTTTGGCTGTTTTATGGTATGGAGATACAGGTTATCAAAACAAATTGCTACATTTCTATGTGATTTCAGGATTTCTTTTGGCTAGCTTTGAAAGACATAAAAATAACCTAACAACTGTTCCAGAAAAATATAATTGCATGGGTATGGGACATGTCACTCTCAGTTTTGGGTGGTTGAGAAAAGCAAACTGTTTTATGTGCAGGATTTTTGTTGGAGGGAATGCCCAGAAATTGGTCCCATTATAATTTTTTGGGGGGGGGGTTAAGGTTTGGTGAAATATCAAGGCTGGCCCATGGGGCTCCTAGAGGCCTCCCTGGTTTAAAACTTTGTCAGAAATGAAAACCTCCTCAATGCATAGTTCTATGTGAAATCAGGACAGAGGGACAGAAATATTTGTGTACACAGAATAATTCATATGTATCTAATCTGGTCACTTTGAAAGATTGTGGTGCCCTCTGGTGTATGATGTTATTCAGCTTCTCAGAAGTTCTGCCACTTGGAAATTAGAACTATAGATCTAGAAAAGGTCCAAATAAATATTCTTTGAATCTGATATTTATAGAAAGATCCATAACATCAGTATGTATTACTGATTTGATTTTCTCATAAGTTAAGATACCTGGGAATGTTTTTGAATTGACTCAGAAGAAAGGCCTCAGCCAGACATGGCTAAAATATCACATTGCAATTGTTCTAAAGAGAGTTTACAGTCTTGGGACCTCATCACATGGGGAAAAAACCCATCCTAGGATGCTGCTGAGATACAGTTAGGACAGAGCCCACCAGAGCCCATTGTATGATGTAGGGCTACTTTCAACGGGGCTCTGTCTTGGCTCCATGCATGCTGTGTCTCCGCAGCATCCTACCTCTGTTCTCGTAGACCAAGCTTCAGGCAGATGAGGAATGGTGTATGATGGTAAGGGGGAAATGCAGTGCATGTCTCTATGGTTTTCCCCAGTCTCCATGGATTCCCCTGCTGTCCCCTGGCTTAGAGACCTCCATGTGATGAAGTCCTTGGTGAAGAACAAATGTCTTCTTTTTCAAGCAGTGCCATTTCCCCACCAAATTGTTACAGCTAAATGCTTCACTTCACACTGAATAAAAGTGAAAGAAATTATGTATCAAGTTTTAAAATGTGTTGCTTTTGCACAGAACATATTCATTCAAAATCTACTTAGAAGCCATCACATGTTTTCATAAAATCTTGTATGTTTTGAATGTTTTGAATCTTTAAGTTCGTTAAAATAGAGTTGTCTCTCCACACTTGGGGGGGTTAAATAGTTGTGGATTTAATTATTTTTGGATTGCTGTATTTACCACTACTTCAGCTGCTGAAGATGCAACTGAAACAAATGCCTCTCTAGGCATTTGTGGAGCTTCCAGTATGATTCTATGATCAGAAGAAAACCATAAAATCACACTGGGGGACCTATGAATGCCTAGAAAAGTGTTCACTCAGATAAAAAGTGTTTCAAGTTTATATATTCATAGATTTCCTACTTTCATGGGGACCTTAACCCCTAGAATCCAGCAAATGTGGAGGGATTATTGAATTTTCTCTTTATTTGAATTTATTTTAAAAACATTTTATGTTTTCTTAAAATATTCACAGCTAGTATTTTGAATAGTTTCTGCCATGATGCTCCTGCCTCTTTGCCTCCTGTTCCCCTGAGAGGCATGAAGCTTGAGACTGTCATGAACTGCGCTGAACAAATTGACTGTTCTCTTCACTTAAGTGTTAAGGGAACACTGCATCTTGATGGTAAGTCAAAACAGTCTTTATGGAATGTGAATAATGACAAAGGTCTGTAGCCTAGGACAACAGCTCATACAAAAGGTTCCAAACTCACTAATGAGCCTTGTGACATCCTGGAGCTCCACTGTTTGTCACTGCTGACCACAAGTGAGCAACACATACATTTTGAAGGGCTTGGTTGCAAGTGCCTGTGAAGTTCCTTTTGCAAATGTGGAACAGTCTATCTATATCTATATCTATATCTATATTTATCAGTATCTATATTTATATCTATATTTATATCTACCTGCATCTGCAGAGCCAACCTTAAGAAATGGGGCTACAAAGTGGAGTCCATGACATGCTAGTGTGGAGAAGAGCAAACCACAGACCACCTATTATAATGCAGTCTGAGCCCTGCCACATGCACAATGGAGGACCTTCTTATAGCAACACCAGAGTCACTCTAAGTGGTCAGCTGCTGGTCAAAGGACATTTAATAGAATGCCAAGTTTGCAAACTTTGTGTTTTTTAAAAATACAATGCAACTGTTTGGTTCGCTCCTGGTATGATAAATAAATATATCTATCTATTTTCATTCCAATATTATATTGATAAACAACAGATAGGAAAACTATATAATGGCATTGCAAAAATATACACTGAACACACCTGAATCAATTAAATTACAACTACAAAAAAAGAATGCACATCCTTTTTTTTAACCTGTGGTTATAATTGTTAGATTGGTACCCTTCTTCTAAATGATGTCTTAACTGTGCTAGTACAACATGATCATTTCTACTAACTTTTGAAACTTAATAGGGATACCATCCTCCATGTCAGCTCATAAAGGTAATATCCAAGACCTAATCCTTCTTAAAAATTGACAGAGATTTATCCTTAATCAACGATGTCAGTTTGTCGATTTCTACCAAGTCACATAGTTTCACCAACCAAACTCCTTGTGTTGGTAATGTAGTGTCTTTCCATCTCTGTGCATATAAAAGTCTAGCAGCCATATTACTGTGTCACATAGCTGCCGGAGGGGCATGGGCACTCCATGCCCCCCCCCCCCAGCACCAGGCTCCAGTTGAGGGGCGATCCCATTGGGAAAAGCATCAATCATGTGGCTTCCCTCCATGGATACCAATGGCAACAAGGCAGATTTTGGTGGCATGCACCGGGTCTGCCCTACTTCACCCATGGAGACCCACCAGCATTGTTTGATAGGAACCAGCAGGCTCTGTGGGTGAAGTAGGGTGGAGCTGGCATATGCTGCCAAAATCCACTCTTTGTGAAGAGGTCCATAATAATATCCTTTCATGCTTCTTCACTAACTGGCTCTCTATCATTCCCAACAAATAGCACTCAGGTCTCACTTGCAATTTTAACTTTAAATATCCTACAGCATCTTATGGATCTGAGTCTAGTACTTGTTTGTTTCATCATAAGTATACAATATATGGTAAAATGTCCCTTGATAACAGTTTAGCTTTAAGGTGGCTGTGGAATGTTAGGTTTGTATGTTACTTTTCTAATCTCACAAGGGTTTTACTTAGGCCCCATCTACACTGCCACATAATCCAGTTTCTGGAGTTACAGTGGCGCAATGGGTTAAACCCTTGTGCCAGTTGAACTACTGACCTGAAAGTCAGTGGTTCAAATCGGTGAGAGGGGAGTGAGCTCCTGTTTGTCAGCTCCAGCTTCCCATGCAGGGACATGAGAGAAGCCTCCCACAGGAATAGTAACACATCTGGGCATCCCCTGGTCAACATCTCTGCTGACGGCCAATTCTCTCACCCCAGAAGTGACTGGCACGATAAAAACCCCACTTTCTGAATCCAGTTTATAATGATAGTATAGACTCATATAATGCAGTTCAAAGAGGATAATTTGGATTTAGAAACTGGATTATATATTAGGGTAGATTCAGCCTTAGGTAGCTAAGTGAAAACTATGTTTGCATTTTGTACTCATTTAGAGCAATTAAAACAATTGGGTAGCAAAGAATGGAAATGGGAGGAGCTGAAAGAAACTGGGATATTTTAAAAGTTCTTGAAAAAATTGGATGACAGAGAATTATCTGGGAATGTTCCTGCCAAATTAATGCATTTGGAGTATTATTCACTAATATTGTGTTGAATGAGTCTTCTACATTTTTTGAATAATCTTTATTCAATCTGATAAATCATAAATATCTTTTGATGGAAAAGGTTTAGGGGAGGAGCAAATGTCAGAGCCATTCTCTTGACCATGGGTTCCATTTATTGGACTTTTCATGCCTATGAGGTCAGTGTCTGAATCCTCTGCTTTTTATTGCACAATTCTATATCTGGAAACTCCAAGGTTTCCACATTGACCTTTCCAAGGAAAGATCAATGATAACTTTTCCTTTGAGAAATTTGGGATTTAAGAAGTACAACAGGTGCCGGAGGTCCATAAACATACACCCTATACTTATTAATACTCTCTACTTCTGTTTTTGAAGATGAGTTACAGCCACTGCTAGTGATAAGCACTGCCCCTGAGAAATTATCAGTGTTGTCTACTTCAGAGGTTTGGTGACCCCCCCCCCCCAACGGAGTGCTCATAAATAGGTTAGGAATTTTGAGAGATGATTTTCTAGCCACTCTTTCACTGTATTCTTTTAGACACAGCTGATGTATTTTATCTTTATGAAGTATACTTGTTTCTTTTAAAATCACTGTAGCACATATGTCTAAATTATTTTCAGAAAATATTCGTGGCATGGAAATATGTTCTTTCTCAATGGAAACTCAGGCATCTAACTGTGTGACTGTGAAGATTTCCACAGATATAAATGTAAATTCTGCTGGGAGGAAGGTAAACATTACTTTTTGTTGTCATTATAAAAACATCGCATACATAATGTTGCAATGTTGATGCATTACAGTTTCTGAGATGTTCAAGGAAGTTTATAACCAGAAGAGAGATTAGGGAAATCTTTTTAAAGAACTACAACTTCCATAATTCTGAGATCTGAAATCCAGTGAAGCAATGGATGATTTGCTATCTACGAGGGGTGTTCATTAAAGATTTTCCCTGATCTACTTCTCTTTATCACAGGACACTAAAATTACACATGTGTAATGGCATAAGCCTTTATAGGTTACGTGCCAATGTAAAACTCAGAACTGATAACGGTCTTGATTTTACAGGTGCCGAAGTGGTGTGAGGTTTGATAATGAATCTAGTGGAATACAGAGCAGTCATCAAATTGAAAAGCTGCACACCAAAGGACACATTTGATGAGATGAAAGAGGTTTATCCTTATGATTCTCCATCATATGATGTAGTCAAGAACTGGCATCATCAATTCAAATGTGGCCAGAATTCAGTGGAAACAGCTTCAATTCCAGGGTGATCCCATTCTGTTATTGATGAACACACCATCCAGCAAGTGGAGGTTTCCATTTTGGAAAATCTCAATTTAAGCATTTGTCACCTAGCCCAAAATGTCAAGATTGCTGTGGGGTCCATGAAAAATATCACCCAAGAGCATCTTCACATGCATAAGGTATCTGCTCACTGGGTCTCCTGGTTGCTCACACCTTTCCAGAAGCAGAAACGAGTCAAATGCTCCCAGGCTCTATTGACAATGTGCCATGGAAATCAGAAAGACGTTTTCAACAGAGTGATCACACAGGATGAAAGATGGGTCCATCGCTATGATCCTGAGACTAAAGTCCAGTCAATGCAATGGAAGCCTCATGACTCACTGCCTCCAAAGAAGGCACATGCCCAACTCTCAGCAGGCAACATCATGTTCACACTATTTTGGGACTAGCATGGAGTTGTATTGATGGATTTCCTAGTAAAGGGTACCATGATCACTGGAGCATACTATGATTCACTGCTGTGGAAATTGTGGGAGGATATCAAAACCAAGAGACATGGCATGCTCAATAAAGGTGTCCACCTTCTGCAAGACAATGCACCAGTTCACAACTCACATTGCCAAAACTGAAGCATGCTCCTGTGGCTTTGAAATTCTACCACATCCCCCTTATTTACCCGACCTCGCACCGTTGGACTTCTACCTCTTTTAAAAAATGAAGTTATTTTTGAAGGGCAAGCATTTTTCGGATGATGAGACTCTGAAATCCGAAGTCACAGCATGGCTTTTGGAGCAACCTGTCAAATTCTACAAGCGAGGTGTTTACAGCTGTTTAAAAAGATTGGAGAAGTGTGTGTTCCTAGATGGCACCTATGTAGAGAAGGACTAATAACTGTACCAAGTTTCATTGCTCTCAGTCCACAAGAAGCTGGTCAGAGGAAATCTTTAATGAACGCCCCTCGTATTAAGTGCAGGTTCTGTATATGAGAAATTCAGAATCATATAATCATATAAGGGGAGTATGGAAGATGGAATTACATATTTCAAAGAAGGTATTACTTTGTTTTCATGTAGGATATATTGCTGAACTTCGCCGTGACCATTTATCCCATTTCTGTTTGCCCCACCTTTAGTGTCGCCTCTATGATGCACTTTCCCCCAGTCCTAGACTGAAAGCCTTGCCCCACTGTTTTTATCATTATTGGGCTCCCCTCACTTACATATTTTTATTCCTACCTTACCCAGGGTTTTATTATTTTATAATTTTATCTTGTCCATTTGGCCTGCCCATCCTGTTTGATTTTATTTTTTGTGAATTTGCTTTATTATTTTATTTTGCTATTGTAATTATCTTCTGATGTAATTTTTGTTTTCTGTATTCTGTATTTATTGTGTTGTATTGTATTTTTTGGGTTTGGCCTCATGTTAGCCGCCCCAAGTCCCCATTGGGGAGATGGTGGCGGGGTATAAATAAAGATGATGATGATTATTATTTTTATTATATGCAAAACTGCTATTAATAGCAAACCCTATTGAAAGGAAGGACTTGTGGGCTTAGAGTATCATAGAGGAATGCCAAAGGACCTAGAAAATATTTAGACAAGACATATTTTGTCAGGCTTGGATAAATGAAACTGTGGATACTGGATATGGGGTTCATACTGTATTTCTTTGCATATTATTCAATAAGTTTTTAAAAGTATCAGGGCCTTCTCATCCTCCTGATTATAACTATCTAAAAGAAGGGTGCACAGGTTCACAAATAGACATAAAAATAAATTGATGGAAAAAAACAATAAACATGGATTTCTTTTTCAACTCTAGCTTGGGAAAGTTGAAATGAAGCTTGGGAGACTTGGCTCTGAAATAAATATATGGCAATTCTCACATTTTGGTTGTTTGCCAAAGTACTAATTACACCATCAAAGAACTAAATGCCCAAAGAGGGACTGAAACTATTAAAGAATGATCCACAGCACTGATAAAAGAAGAGTAAGCATTTGATTCTAACTGCAGCCACATTAATAGACTAATGAATGTCTGTCTTGAAAAGACATGGTGGTTTATGTTTGCTTCATGAAATTTTCTCCCTGTGTGGGCAGAGGTTATTTCATACCATTGCACCCAGATGCTTTCATTTAAAAAGATATGTAGACATGAAAATAAATAAACAAAAAACACCACAGCCCATAAGAAACTAATTATGGCTCAGCCTAGTTGCTTCACACTTCCATTGTACATCATTTTCTCCTTTATTGCAGAAGTGGCAATTTCAATCATTCACCCATGTGCATTTCACAACTATTTATTTTTATTCTGAGTGAAATCTATTTATGGAAAGGGCTTTCATGAAGCTGCTATATCTCTTTTGGGATCCCCTCAGCCCTGACCTGATCGTGGCTGGAGATCTGATCACTGTTTTACTCCATAGAGGAAATTTGTGGAAGCATTGCTACATGAAGCTAGTGCTTCTGTGCATCTTAGAATACCCTGGTATCCTGGTGCTTCATTGGATTGGTACGTTAGACTGAGAGATTGTGACTGTCTAAATGGCCAGATGGGGAACTGAACCTGACTCTCACCAGTTCTGATCCAACACTATATAACACTGTATTGACCCTTCAAAATAATGACATCTCAGATGTGAAGTGTTTGAGGAGGAGTATGATGGTATAGGCAAGAGCTTCTCCCTCATATGCTACTGTGAAATTAAGTGTCAGGCCATGTACAATCTTCCAGAAATTATTGGATTGAAATTCCCATCTTTCCTCACCATCAGATACGGTGGCTACAGGTGATTGGAGGTAGTCCAAAATCATCTTGGAGATCTGATTGATTTTCACTCTGATGTAGATGGATTCCAAGGATTGTTGGATTAGTGCAGGATACTGTTCCATTATCTGGGTGGAGGCCACAAAAGTGTGCTAGACAGAGAAGGATAGCCCATTTTATGGGAGGGGGGAGGGAGGTTTGATGGAGTTAAACCATTTCACTCTGTTTTCCTGTTATTCCCCCCAGCCATGTCACCATTGGAAAATAACCCTCATTTATGAAATGGGAAGTGGGGAGGGGGAAAAACCAGCAAAAACAGAGAAATTGTTTTCTTCCTTCAACTCTCCTCCATAATATGGACTATCCTTCTCTGTCTAGCTCCTCCTTGTTTATAATATGACACGTGCATAACATGACACAGGGACATGGAAAGACTGAGTAAATACAGTCGGGCATGCCCTGGGCAGTGTTTCTTGTAAATGGCTAATCTTTCAAACCCAAAAGCATTGCTTTTTATGCAATGCTTTTGTAACACACACAATAAATAAATAAATGTGTATATTTCACTTGAAATATTGGGAGAATATTCACTTGAAATATTGGGAGAATGCCTACTTCTTTGATCATTTATTGGCAGAAAATTTGAACAAAGTTGCCCAGTACAACAACAAAACAGAACTACTTACTTAACCTTGTTCTCCTTTGCTGTTTCTGGAAATCATTTACAATCTACTTCATTGTGTCTATATGTATTTCCCACTACAGGTGAAAGTACAATTTAATTGCTTTGAAGTCAATGCAGGGCAGCATCTTCATGTGACCATGAAAACACTTCCAAATTACTGTGCAGTTAAACGGACTCAAGAATATTATGTTGAAGGTAAGCTATATATTGAGAAAAATGTTGATGTTAAGTAGTGGGTGTACATCTTGAATACAAAACGTAGAATGATACTGAGGAGGACTCCATCTACAGTGCCATATAATCAAGTTTCAGAATGCAGATTAACTGCATTGAACTGGATTATATGGCAGTGCAGATTCGTATAATTCAGTTGCAGTTCAATCTGCATTATATCAGTGTACACCAGGCCTGCACAACCTGTGGCCCTCCAGGTGTTTTGGACTTCAGCTCCCAGAATTCCTGACCATTGTACAAGCTGAGAGCAGGTATACCACACACACTTTCTAGAAAGTAAGGTTAACTTTCTGTGAGTGAGTCTGTTCTGCTGATAGAATAAGTGTTTGTATGTAAGTATGGTGTATGGTAATCCCCCCTTCTCCACATGCTCTAAACAGTGGTAAACATTCAGAAATAAGGTGATGGAGCTCCCCTAGTCTTCTGAGATGTTTGAAAATTTGAGGCAATTATGTAAATGCAATACATTTATTAGATCCAGTCCACTATATCATCAAAGCAGAATGTGAGTTTTAAGATATGATTTAAAGTTCTGCTAAATAAGGCAGTAACACACACACACACACTTGAGAGGAGAAAGGTAGAAGAGGAAAGGAGAGAATTAGAATGGAACTACTTTGGGATGTGGGTGGAACAATCAGGATAGGATGGAACTATAGAAATTTTTCTTCCTTCCTTACTTTCATTCAGGGTCAGTTCAGGTTGGGTTAATATTACATTAGGAGTGGATTCTATATGGACATTCCTTCCTTCATAGCCTTGATTCATACGTACAATGCATGCACTCAATTGAACAAAGCACTACTCATTTCCTCCCATTCCCAGCATTATTGGTGCTATTTCCATGGAAAATATAATTCAACTATAGTCCCTCTCTTGTATGGGTATTTTGCCATATTATATTTTCCCCATCTATTGCAATGCCATTTTGGTATGGCTATCAACTCATGTCAAAACTCCTCCCTCAATCCTGTCCCTCTGGCTGACTTTCCAGTTGCCTTGTTGAAAGCGACTATAGCCATTGCTAAAATGAATGTTCCCCTACCAGTGGTTCTCAACCTGTGGGTCCTCATGTGTTTTGGTCTACAATTTCGAGAAATCCCAGCAAGTTTATCAACTGTTAGGACTTCTAGGAACCACAAGTTGAGAACCACTTCCCCAGACTATGGTCAAATTATACCTCCATCCTCCAGTAACAGACAGAGGCATGAGTACAATAAACTACTACAAAAAGTATACCACACATGCACACACTATAATATTCATTAATGCACTATTTGATTGTAAATAAATAAGGGATGCAGTCCATCTCTGTAAATCCAGAAGAGAGCTCAGAAAAGGGTAGAGCCATTACGCTTCATGGAATCCACATGCTAGTACCTGAGTATTATTCATATTCTGCCTAATATCTTTAGGTTAGCTGGAAGTGTGGTGCTCTACCTTGTGGCAATAAATGATATTGCTCCGTGTTTGTAAGACAGAGTAATGTCATGATGAGATGGAAAAATGTGGAGGCAAAATTGGTGGGCTGTGGCAAGGTAGAACCAGTCAGCCACTCATAGTTCTCCGACCCATTCCCATTATGAAAAGCACCGTATCAATAATAGCAATTTCTTGTCCGTAAAAAACAGATGTCACAGAATAGAGTGATTAGTAAAGCTGGCTATGAGCGATACATCACAATAGAAAAATCTATAGTTGAAATATTTGAGGGTATGCAAATTATATATTATTTGAATCTGCTTCCACCTGTTGCATCCCATGCTTCCAAAATTTCACCAATGAAATGCAACTCTCTTGATTTGCTATGATTACATTTCTACTGCCGCATAATCAACTCTCTAGAGGTTAAAAACTGACACACATCAAAAGATAACAAAACAAGCTGAAGAAAAAAACCCTCCTGTTTTGTATTTTCCAGATTGCCAAAACAGTGATGTGGCAAGAAATATTCCAGACTGTTTTGGTAAGTAGTCTAAATTCTAAGCAGTACATGTAGAATGTGTCCACTGTTTCTGAATTCCACTAATCATGTGTTTATCTGAAATTTAAAACTAGCTCAAAATATGAAATAAGAAAATCATGGTTTGATAAACTGCTACAAACCAGATAAAAGCAGATAACATTTTGCTTAGTGTCTGTTAAAATATACAGTATGCCTTCATGGGATTAAATTTGCCTACCCACATCTCAGGTAGGGGTGGCTCAACACATAACGCAAACTAAGCGTTTGCAGTATAGTTGATTTTGCCCAGGGGCGCTCTTGAGGTGCTCTTGGGGGAAAATAGACCTTGACATATGCGAGTTGTAGTTACTGGGATGTATACTTCACCTACAATCAATGAGCCTTCTGAACTCCACCAATGATGGAATTGAACCAAATATGGCACACAGAACTCCCACGACGAACAGAAAATATATATCAGTGATTGGTTGGGGGGGGGGGGGAGGGCGCCAAAATACACTTTGCTTACTATTGAAAATTACCTAGGGCCGCCTCTGCCTCTAGGAATTTTCTAAGTCCTCCAGGTGAATCTATAAAATAATTCTGCCAGATAATATTTTAAAATTGTCCTGGAGGACCTAGGAAATTCACAGAGAAGCAACTTTTTTTTACATTTTCCTCCAAGTGGTAAAAGTCAGCAAAAATATCTCTAGCAGCATTCACTGGGGCCACTCTGAAATTACCTTTGAAATGATTTGTTTATGCATACAAGAATGCAATAAAAGATTAACATCTCGACATCGGTGAGACTTTAGTATATATAATTTGCATATTTTAGTTTCTTCAAAATATTTAATCAAGAGTACAAGCATTATATTATTCTTTAAATGCTAATTGAAATCCTGGGGAAGATTCTAGATGCTCTGTGAAATGTCATGGTCTCATGGAGTAATGTTACAGTCATGCTGCTGTGTGAGGACACAATTCTCAACATGCATATTAGGGATAACTACTGAGAAGATAAACACAGAACAGTGTTGTAAGCCAGTGCTACTCAAAGCAGTCATCTGCAAACTGGCTCTAATCCATGCACCATTAATGCTATTCTGTGGTAAGTTTCCAGGAAACAATGCAAATAAAATCATATGTGACACAAACATGCTGTTGTCCCTTGCACACTGAGAGAAATGTGCCAGTCTGTCACACCTGATACCTTGCAAAGTCTTGTTGCAAATCCCTTTGCATATTCAGAAGTACCTTCAGAATATTATGTACTGAAATAGATGGTGACAACTGACTATATAATTCTGTGCATGTTTATATAGAAGTACATCCCTCTGTGTTCAATGGGATAAAATTGTAAATCACGGATCCTGAAAACATTCACACTGAATATAGAACTGCAAGTCTTTGGTTATAGGTTTTTGTGTGTGTATGTCAGGAGCGACTTGCAAGTCGCTTTTGGTGTTAGAGAATTGGCCGTCTACCAGGACGTTGCCCAGGGGATGCCCAGATGTTTGATGTTTTACTATCCTTGTGTGAGGCTTCTCTCATGTCCCCACATGGGGAGCTGGAGCAGACAGAGGGAGCTCAACCAGGCACAAGGGTTTAACCCATTGCACCACCAGGGTGTCCTTTTGGTTATAGTGACTACATTAATAAAAAATCCTTGTTTCAAAGCAGATGTCTTTATTTATCCAATTTTGTTGTGGTTTCCCCCCACTTCATTTCAGTTCCCCAATTGGTTTATGAGGTGGACAGAATGCAAAAGACCATTTCAGTGAACATTTTGGAAGTTACTCAAGACATGGACTATTATGTTCGGTTATGCCATCTGCGGTTTGTGTGTGAAGATGTGGGATCAGTCACCGTGGTAAGTTCCTTGCAGAAACTGATTGTGTTGCATGAAAATGGCTATATTGGTGGAATTTGTTCTATCTTAGGGCCCTTCCATACAGCCATATATATCCAGAAGATAAAGGCAGATAATCCACAGTATCTGCTTTGAATTGGATAAACTGAGTCCACACTGCCATATAATCCCGCTCAATGTGGATTTAATGCAGTTGTGTGGAAGGGGCCCTAGAATAATAGAATCATAGTGCTGGAAGATACCACAAGGGTAATCCAGTCCAATTCCCTGTCATGTGGGAACACAGAATCAAAGCATCTCTGATAGACGGCCACCCATCCTCGGCTTAAAAACCTCAAGAGAAGGAGAAGCCACCACTGTTTTCCCCTCACTTTGCTCTAATCCAGCATGTTATTTGTAGTTTTGAGGCCCATATTGAGAAAAAAAACTCAAGGAAAAAATCTTTTCCTAAAACAAATATAGCTGTAAACAGTGCAAGGCAAATCTTAACGTCAGAGTGAGATGATGTTCTCAAGAATCTATTACTGGTAGTAGTAGTGGTAACTCTCAGCTATTTAGTAATGTGATTTTTTTTGGTCACTACCTCCATGTTGCTGCCCCTCATTTCCAGCCACAGAGCTCCATATGAGCTCCTGAACACTATAGGTGCCTTTGTTGAAGTTGGAATGAGGAACCTGTGTGAGCAGAAAGAAGGTGGAGAAGGGTATCTGGTTGAGGAGGCACCTCATTATGGCATAAAAGACACAACAGGCAATGTCCAGTATCTTGGCTAGCGCTCTGCCTAGGAATGGCGCTGGTGACACAGACATGATCTATTCCCTGTTGTCATTAATACCGGGAAAGGTGATGGAAACTATCCATCTGGATAGTGGATACAGCTGAATCAGACCAAATCCACATGTCCACAATGCCCCAAAGCCCTGGGATACTCTGGGGTATCACCTAACCTTGCTTAAAGTGGGGCAAAGAGTACAGCCAAAAATCCCACAATACTCACTGAAAGCCATTGTGAACCATAAAGACTGCCAACAGTCCATTTGTGGTAAGTATGGGGTTTTTGGTCAGTGTAGATAAACTCTATATCTTTCTCTTACTCTTTTTAAAATATCATCAAAGGAATTAGATGCTGGTATATATATGTTATCATCCTATCAGAGGCTAAATTTGACTAGATTCTCTTTTCTACACAACTGCAAGAGTATTGTCCACCTTTACACTGAAGGTTCTTTCTGATGAAGGGCTCCTTGCATTGTCTAGCCTTTGCTTTTTCTGATTTGACATGCAATTTGAACTCCAATTGTTATTATTAACCTATATTCTATAATGCTCTGCTGTTATCAGTGGGACAGGTCATAGCTGCTTTGACAGGCAAATGAGAATTTTTCTTCCCTAATATTTTAATTAATGTATAGAACCTTGTTTAAAATAAAATAAAATATTATCTGTAAAATATGTACAGAGATTATGCCCCTCCTTTTCTCTTATTTCATTTTCAATGGTCATGGCTATGAAACCAAGTTTTATCTAGGCATGTACATTTTTGGCTAGTGTCATATTTGAAGGAAGCAATGAGCAATGTTAGGAATTTCCATACTGTTATAAGAAAGTCTTTGAAAAGTCGTTTTCAAAAACTATTTGCTGTTTGAGACTTAAATGCCTAAAATTCACACGTTGAAGAGGGTTTTTTGCATTAAAAAATCATTTTCTGTATAGGAAACAGTAACTTTTCTGCAGAAAATAACATTATGTGCCGAAATAATATATTATGTGGATAAATTGCTGTTTATTGCAGAGTACTGCTATTCTTTGCACCAAAAATCCACATCCAAATTTTACACAGAATAAGTCCTGATCTGCAAAGATTTTCAAGTATTATCCTCATCAGGGTTCTTCTCCATCCAAGAGACATTTATTGATCATTTCCCAAACATTTTCAAATATTTTCCATCCCTAGTTTGATCTCAGTCAAGGATTACCAAGTTTCTGAACAGGAACACTTTCCATGTTATTGCTTTTTCATCCTTCCCTTCCCCAAAGGGGCACATTCAAAAATAGCAGATTACATTGGATCTGAATTTCTAGTCTTCAGTTGAGATTAATGTAAAATCCTGTGATAGTTGCATGAATTATCAATTTATGCAGTGAGGTGATGCCAACATAACTGCCTCCCCTATGGGTATACATGTCAACTTAGTCACCCAAGTTGACATGTATACCCATATATATGTTTCTTCCAAGTCATTCCAAGGGCATTGCTTAGCCCTTGAATGAATCTAAGATAGACATGGGTTTTTGAAATTATAAGCTCATAATGCTACAAAAACACTATGAAAGCAAAGTTCAAGCAATTATTTGGAGTCAGTCTGAAGCATTGTTCTGTTTAAGAGCCTGTAAAGACACACAAAACTTGACATACCACATGCTGTTTTGCAATTTACAATTTCAGATTACAGAAAAGGATTCGATAAAAGCAGTTTCTTTCCACTATGATGAGCTACTGCCTTGTCTCTGTGTTGAGGTAATTGTTTCCATTGTGGTTCAGTGCATGACCTTGCTCAAAGTGCAATAGTGCACTCAAGGGCTGTGCTTCTTGATGCAAAGGACAACATTTATGTTGAAATATTTCCAAAAGAGTGTTGAGTGCCTGATTTGGATCTTAGTACAAAAATGAACCCGAAATCATGAGTGATAATTATAAGGAATATTTGGAATGTCCTCCAGAAAAGTATGAGACTATGGGAAGTGAAGTACCTTTTATCTGGAGAAAACATTGGACAAATTAAGAATTTAATTGACCACTGATTAAGACTTTGAGTCAAAGTCTCAAAGTCTGGTTTGCATTGTATGATGAATCTGATAAGATCCTAGCCCATCTAATCTCCTTTACAAATGATTTATGCCTTATAGAACTTTTACTAAATTTCTATTTATAATTGGACTGTAATAGGTTTTATTTGCATACTTGAGTATTTTAGAATTTTATTGTATTTGTTAACACTTTTATATCCCTACTCTAATTAGTACTAATCAATAGGATTCAGGCCAGTTTTCTTGCATTTCCTCCTACCTTACATCTAGCACTGGAAGGACCAGATTTGATATACCACAGCTCCCTCCATGCTCAGCCTTGATGACAGTGTGAAAGCATTATTCTGAAAAAGGCTGATAGGAAGATCATCCTGGCTTTTTTCTTGACATGCCAGTAGAAATACAATATTGGCACATTCAAGAAAGAGCGAACCTTGGGTGAGCTTCCAGTAGAAGCAGAACCATCAAAATATCTCAAAACCCCCATTTGCTCAACAAGGTACCAGATTCAGAAATTCCATTCAGAAGTGACTTCCTGTTGGTCAGTTTTGTAGTTCAGAAAGCTGGCTTAGAACATATTCTTAGAGTGGCATTTGTCCTCTGTGCTCTTCATGGCTGGCCATCCCTTCTGTAGATATGACTGAACTACAACTTCTATCATTCCTGACTGTGAAATGTGCTACAAAAGACTGCTTTGAGTTGAAGTCCAACAACACCTGGAATCTCCATCCCTGCTATGAAATGCTCCCTCCCCTTCCCATTAGCTTAGTATTTAGTGAAGATAGATTATGCTGATGATTCTTTATATGCAATTAGATTTTGAACTAACTGGACCTTAGAGTTAATGGCTTCATGTTTGAATTATAGGCATGGGCAGCAATTCCAGATGCACGGAGAATACGAGTGTGCCCATTTAAAAATGGTAAGTGAAGAATACCTCCTGCTTTTTAAACTTCTTGCATAGTATAGAGAAAGATTAATACAACAAGTTAGCACTGTTATTTTTTTAAAAAAACCCAAGGATTATTACCCTACGTTCTATATTTGAATTTTGTACAGACTCGTATGTCTAGATGTTGACATTAGAGGTCAAAAGTTCAGATCTGATCCTTCTATGAAAATAATTCTCAATTCCCGTATGTGCCACTGGTCCTGAATTCTATTATTATAATATCATTCAAACAACAGATGTTGTAATAATTTCCAAGATAAGTTATCCCAAAGTTCAGAAATCTCAACTTTTGTATAATGCGACATACCACTAATTTGTTTCTGAAAACTGCATGAATCCTTATAACATAAAGTTCTTTGACAGCTTAAAACAAACAAGCCTTAAAGCAATTTAAATATGAATTAAACTATAAAGCCATACAATCAGAATCAAAAATAGCACAGAAATTGTTTTATTGTTACTTGTCATTAAGTTGGCTTTGACATATGGTGTCACTATGAATGGAAGGCCTACAAACTCATCAGTCATCAATTGCCCTGCTCAGGTCTTGCAAATTCAAGGTCATGGTTTCCTTGCTTGAATCAAGGATATGCAAGGTCAGGTTTAGCTGCGTTGATTTTCATTCTTGTTATTGTGGGCCATCTTGTTATGATTTGCCAGTGCTTTCTTCTCAGGCTGAGGGAGCTTGATTTGCCCAAGTTTACCCAGTAGACTTCCATTTCCAAGCAAGGATTGAAATCCTGTTCCAAAATCATAGTCCGATGCTCAAAACAATACCAATGTCTCTTTTATTCTTCTAGCACCAACCAATTCAGATCTTCATTGGTTTTGAACCTGTCCTACAGTAGACAGCAAAATCCGCTATGTATTCTATGTATGGAATGAATGGAGTATCATCTTGATCTTTGACAGAGGCAAACAATGTCTATTGCAATTTCCTTTATTTATGACTTCTGTTAAAAAAACACCAGGTGAAATTTATATCAGATTCTTCTTAAAATGTGTGTATGTGAGCATATGTGAGTGCATTATGATGTCTGGCAGTAGTGGCTAGGGTCTTGGTGTCAATCATTGTGAGGCCTATATTTGCTAAATTCATATTTTGTGTATACTCTTAAAAATAACAACTTGTGAAGTTTTATTAAGGCCCCAAACATTACATGATCTATAATTGTGTTTTTATATCTTCCTTATCTTCATATGTTGCTTTTAGATACTAAAGCCCTCTGGGACAATATAAATTATAATCCTGCCACACAATCACTGGTATGGGAAGCTGCCTGTCCCATTGATGTTTCTGTCAGCCTTTGTCAGTTGATGGAGACAGACGATGAGTGTGTTGATTTAGAGAACACTTTCAAGACTGGTCTAGGGAAAGTAAGTACTCAAGATAATAGACATATACTGGACTTAGCATTTGTTTTTGGACTCACTGAGTGTGCAGATGGCCTTGCTGACCAGTTTTGACCTTCACTATTAACTGTCATTATAGCTGTCACCATTGGAATAGTCTTGAGCTTGAGTGATAGTTTCACCTTTTCCTTTCACATAATTTATTCCCATCCTCACACTATTTCCATTTTTCTTTGTCATGAAGATCTATTAATTTCAGTTCCTCTTTGTCAGCTGATCCATCTAGCTCAGCTGATAAGAGAGAATCCACCAGGGTCACCCATTTAGTGGCCAGAAGTTGAGTAGGAAATATCTTGGTTTCTTTCATATAGCATGTTTGTAATACTATAATTCCACTTTAACTATCATACTACCTTATCATAAAGGCCAAGTGTAGTGTCCCACTTCTTCCGGCTTCTGGTGAGGAAAGAGGGTGCAGCGAGGTGAATCTGTCACCCTGCACAACTCTCTCTCACAATGCTTTCCTCATCATAGTTATCTCTCACAATGCTTTTACCTGGTTGAGGGCGAAGCCACAGGCAATGTCATCTGATGGCTGCTGTCAGACCATGTCCCTAAAGAAGGCTCTAAGTGTCCCAGGAAGCTTATTTTGAGCCATGTGATGAGGTCCATTTTTCCATCTATGAAATCCTGGGATTTTCAGTTTAGGGATGAAGATTGAGAATTCTCTAGCTTTAATCATCTAGCTATTTTGGATTCCAGATCCTGGCAGTTGGCCAAGCTAGTTAGGGCTTCTGGGAGTTGAAATGTCAAATATCTGGAAGACCAAATGTTAGGAACCATTTCTGTGGTGCCTTGCTCAACTACAGACCTCTGTGTTTCATGCAATGTTGCCATGCAGTTAATGTGAAATTATAGTATTGCAACTGAAGTTTGAAAGGGAATCACATGGAAGCAGATCTTGGGTGATCAGTTGAAGAAATGTCTTAATTGTAAAAAATGATAACTCCCAGCATTCCTTGCCAGTGGCTATCTTCAGTAGGCCTGCTGTGAGTTGCCACCCTACAGCATTCTACCATACAATTACCATTCTTGGGTTACAGTTTGGTTGAGTTCAAACTTTTAATGACAACTCTTTTAAAATCCCATGAAACATCACTGTGTGACATTTGGCACTTAAGTGATTGTCAATAGCTAATTATCTGATTTTTTCTTCAACCAGGTGAAATACTCTCAAGTTGATGCCAATCCAGGGCTTTGTATGAAGGTATACTATTTTTTCTAATATAATTATCTTACTACAGTTTGTTAAAGATATTGAAAAGAGAGATGACCTATTCATTGCAGCTGTCAAGCAGCAAATCTATTTTCCCTTCCCATTACTACATGTTTGTTATCAAAAAGGGTAGAAAAAGAGACCGGAACAAACATAGCATATAGTTGTGGACCATGTAAATACAAAATGTATTCCACTTCAATTCCCTCTTTCCCTTCAGAGACTTTGTTAAATTAGTAGGACTGTCTGAATTAATAAAGCATTAACAGATAGGTTGAAATGCCGAAGAAGTTTTGATGTTGTCAATATTATAATGTATTAATCAAATGTAAATGATTAGGCTAAAGTAAGATTCCACTGTTAAATCCAAAAGTGGGAATCCTAAAGACAGATGGGATTAACTCTAATTGAAAACAGAGAGCCTTATTTTTTTAGTAAATCTGTAAGGATTGTACTGTGATTTGCCATTGGCTGTGGCTCAGGTCAACATCTTATGAATTCATTCATGTTTGGTTTTAATTTCAAGATTCTTGGTAGAAAACACATCTGATAAACATGACATTAAAAGTATATCTGCATTTTGATGCAAGTAGCATCACTTAGAGGGGGCTGAGAATTATTATTGGGAATGGAGTAGTTAATTTCCCTATTCCCTGCCTGCAGAATTCCTGGAGGAAGAGAAAATGTTAACAAACATGGGACCTTTTGCACTAGTTGATTCTATGTATTTCACTGCCATTCTGTCCAAGATACTGGACTGGCAGTCTTATAGAGATATAAAGCGTTACCTTGATTAAATTTTTATATCACTCCACTGTGAATAGAAATTAAGATTTTTTTTAAAAAAAGATTCACATTTTCTAACTAGGTTTTTTTTTGTTTGTTGAAATCCTTTCTAGTTTACAACAGATCATGGTTCTTGGGTGAGATGTCCTTTTGCCCATGGAAATTTCCAAGGTAAAATGCAGTTTATACCTTCTTATCTTATTTATTTGATTAAATATCCCACCCTTTCTTACAGGAAAACTATCACCTTCCAAAACAATACCCTTAAAATCATGAAGCTCATATATCCATAACTGATTTATTGAATCACAGAATATCACAATTCTTAGTCTGTCTGAGAACTGTGAACCTTTTTCTCTCTGGATGTCGCTGGATTGCACATCTATTATTCCTTATCATGGTCTGTGCTAGCTGGAACTGATAGGAATTATAGTCCAATAACAGCTGAAAGGTGTTATATTGCCCATTTCTGCTGTAATATGTTTGAGTGTGAGTGCGTGTTTGTGTGTGTGTTCAAATTTAAAGATTGAAAGCACTATAAATGTATCTCCTAGATTGCAGTATTTTCTATGAGGTAACATGAAATTTTCTTCCTCCAAGAATAAAGCAAATATTTGTAGTGCTAATTTATAAAACAAGATGTAGATAGTCCCTAAGTTATGAATAAGATAAGCTCTGTAGGTTTGTTCTTAAGCTGAATTTGTTTGTAAATTGGAACAGGCATATTTTTAAGTGTAACTCCAGCCAAATATCTATCTATCTATCTATCTGTCTGTCTGTCTGTCTGTCTGTCTGTCTGTCTGTCAGTCTGTCTGTCTGTCTGTCTGTCAGTCTGTCTGTCTGTCTGTCTGTCTGTCTGTCTGTCTATCTATCTATCTATCTATCTATCTCTCTATCTCTCTCTCTATCTATCTATCTATCTATCTATCTATCTATCTATCTATCTATCTATCTTTCCATCATCTCTCTCTCTCTCTCTCTAGCATAGGGAAGAGTGGAGCCCCCGGTGGCGCAGTGGGTTAAACCCCTGTGCTGGCAGGACTGAAGACCGACAGGTCGCAGGTTTGAATCCGGGGAGAGGCGGATGAGCTCCCTCTAACAGCTCCAGCCCCTCATGCGGGGGCATGAGAGAAGCCTCCCACAATGTTGATAAAAAACATCAAATCATCCTGGCATCCCCTGGGCAACGTCCTTGCAGATGGCCAGTTCTCTCACACTAGAAGTGACTTGCAGTTTCTCAAGTTGCTCCTGACACGACAAAAAAAATATAGGGAAAAGTTAACACCTCTGTGGTGTTTGCTTTGCTGTCTGTGCCCCTGTTTAGAAGATTTCACCTCACTGTCTGTCCCTGTGATCATTGGATTTTGAAAAAGAAAAAAAGCTTGTTGTGGAAATGAATTGGTTTTATTTCATGTTAAAAGTATTGCATAAATAAACAAGTATAAAACCGATAAAATAGAGTGAACACAAGCAGATAAATAATTTCAGACCAAAAACGGGTAACAGCAACTGCATTGGGTTGTTGTAGGTTTTTTCGGGCTATATGTCCATGATTGAGTTTACACAAACATTTTTTTCATTCACAATCATCATAAAGCAAAGATGTCACTATCTCATTCATTCACGTGGACTATTTTAGGGTATTTTGGATTTCAGATATGGGATGTATTATTAGTGCTTTTGCCCCACCCTCAAATAAATTTTATTGCACTTGCAATGAAGCAGAAAGACAGGGAAACACACTCCTGATACAGAAGTGTTCCTAGTCCACACAGTGGGAATAATGCTGCCTCAAAACTGATGACAGCACCCCAGACAGCTTTCCAAGGCAATAATGTATTGCCATCAGGGCATCCAGAAGAGGGTGGAAGGATTGCAAGCCACTGCTGAATAGGTCTTCATAGCGCTCCATTTTCAATAGCAAATTAAGAGGCATCAACTATGCTTATTTCTATGCACACTTAGCTTCCTCTCCCTCCTGGCGGATTGACCATTTTAGAGGAAAAGTGGGTTGGAAAAGAAAAAAGGGGAAGAAGAATTAAGAGGTAGCCATGGGGATGGGCATAATTAACACTAAACCAGTCCTGAAGTCTGTCCCATCACAATAATGAGAAAGGTCCAACATGCCTTTGAATGGAAGACCAAGTGAGGAGGAGGCTTCCTCTTTGCTTCTCTTCCTGAGGCCCTGCAACAACTCTTGTCCTGCAGAACTGGCTTTTGGGATTTGCAACTGGGCACCTTTCGCACAGAGCAATCAGAGCAACCAGTAAAATGAATCAGTGTTGGTTTCCTAACCTCCCTGCATTGTGGTGGTGAGTTGCAGACCTTTTCTGAGGGAAAGAAGAAGTGCCTCAGTTCTCACCTCCCTTTTTGCTTCTTTCTTCTCCTTCTCCTCCAGTGGGGAAAACCACCAACTCCACATCTTTCATTTCCCTTACTCATGAAGGAGAAACGTAGCTTCAGCATGAAGTTGTAGTGGGGCCTTCAAGGTGAAGCTAAGTTTCTTCCTCATAAGCAAGGGAAAGGAATGGCGGAGAGTTGGCAGTTTTTCTTGATGGAGGAGAAGGAGATAAAGAACAGTGGTTGAGATAACAACTGAAAGATCTTGGTAGCAATTAAATTCACTTTCAAGGAAATTGCTTTTATCTGATATTTTTAATGGTAGTGTTTTATTTCTGTGTTTTAATTGTAATTTTTGGGCTTGTCCCTTGTAAGCCACCCCGAGTCCTCTTGGGGAGATGGTTGGCGGGATATAAAATAAAGTTAATATATATTATATAATCATGGAAATTTCTTTAATGCCAAGTTACTACTACACCGCAAAGTTACAAATGTAGAAAACGTGGACAACTTTCAATTCAAAATCTCTAAAAGTCCTGCCCTCTCAACTCCCGTAAGTTCCTCTGTACAGCTTTTCCAGTCTTAGCTGGTTTATTTTATCAGGTTCTTTCCCACACAGGGCTCCAGATGTTTTCATTCATTGACTTGGACTGTGAATTTATGGCATGGAGGTGTTCTGTTGTTTTGAACAGACCAGACATACATCCCTTCCTTTAAAAAGTGTACCCACACAGAAAAACATGCAAGCAAGGCATAAAGCAGGAAAGTGAAGATATATCATTGTGAACAGGAGTAGTATACTATTTAGGTTTCAAAGATACAGTAAATGATATGTCTTGGTCATCTTTGGTGCTCAGACATTGCACCTACTCAGGATCAGGGAAATGTTTCCAACACGCCAAGTATTGCAGGCTATCATGATGACGTCTAGAATTCAGTATTTCCTTCAGTTCAAAATGCTGTTGTCCGTTGATGGCACGTCTTCTTTACCGCCTCCCTCTTGCTCTAAAACACCTTATCTAATGTTAAATGTTAACATAACCTGGAGCCCAAGCTTCTGCCTCCTACCAAAAAAAGAAAGGCCCCAAAGCCCTCAAAATCTCACCCTGCTCCCCACTAATCCTGAGTCCAACAACCCCAGGCTATGTTTTCAACCATGACCAGTCCTTACAGCATCTTGACCACATCTATCAGTGGCACCCCCCTTCACCACAGGTTAGTTTGATACTTTGGTGCACAGAGAAAGGAAATGTGTAGAGATAGAACACTTTGCTGTTGGAGGGGGAAATAATGGGGTCCACTTGCTACTCTGCTGTAACTCAGTGTTTGACCTCCCCCTCTAAGGCAGATCATCCACAGGCCACACCAAATCCCCATGAGGTATACATACAGCCCATGGCTCATATATTGTGCAAGCCTGTACTAAATAACACCAGTTCAACAGTGAGAGGGCAAGAAATGATATCTTCCTTTTAAAATGGACTTTAGTTATCATCATATAGTCAGATTTGATCAGCTGTATGACATCGGGATGTCACCTCATTTTCTAGACAATAGTTACCGTAAGTGAAATTTTCATATACACTGAGGCCCTTTTCTTAAAACAAAAAAAAAGATGAATACTGCATGAATGACATTTAAAGAATTATGATTTAGAATGGGATTGAGAAATCACTTTGGGGCTCATTAGAAGACAATTTTCATATTGATTTACTGCAGACACTGAGCATCTTTTTTTCTGGAATCCATGGGACCCATTATAAATGGATATTGGAAACACAATCACAATTCAAGACAAATTTTTACAACAGCACTACAAACAATTAGCAGATGTCCATTATCCAAAATGTACTGTGGATCAAATAGTGTGCTAGTACAGAACTTGATTCTAGGGCTCTTTTACATATGCTGCTCATTAGTATATTTTACTTAAGCGATCCCTTGTAGTCTGAGTATGTTGACCTTCCAAGTGTAATGTATTGCGGTGGGTATGTAGGTGACTGTAGAACCCTATTCTTGACCCTCATGTTCTTCCACAGTGAGGACATTGGTTTCCAGGTAGAAGGCAGTCCTGGTCAGGTTTGGCTTGACGCTCATTCCTCTTGGCACGTTTCTCCCTTTCTCCCTCCATTTGTGCCTCTTCAATTTCCATAGCGCTGCTGGTCACAGCTGACCTCTAGCTAGAGTGCTCAAGGGCCAGGGCTTCCCAGTTCTCGGTTGTCTATGCCACAGTTGTTAAGGTTAGCTTTAAAAACTAGTAAAAGTTAGTATAAGAAGTTTGGATACAATTTTAATGTACTAAATAGAAAATATGTAATAGGTACAGATGCATAACTGAAATTCCACTATAAGAAATTTACTCTTTTGTCTCATTCTAAATATATTGTTGGTAATCTAGCTAATTTATTTGAAGTGAAAAAGACAGGCTGGTATTTTTTTTATCTCTGGCAACCACATATCCAGCTCTCTCCCATTTTCTGAGCTCAGCTGGACCAATGCAATAATTCACAAGGAGTTATGTTACTTTTTTGTTTGGAGGACTGAACATTGACACTCTTAAGCTTGGTATGAATGTTAAGCTGGCAAGGAAGGAGGAGTGGAGAAAGTTAAACAAATGGGAAAAAAGGAAGTGTGAAGAGTTGAGTGTTAAACTTTGATGCTGGAGATCAGGGTTCAAATTCCCAGTAAGCCATGAAATTCATCTTGGACAAGTCACATTCTCTCAGCTTCAGAAGAAGGCAATGACAAACCTCTTCTGAACAACCCTGGCAACAAAATCCTGTAATAAGTTTATTTTAGGATTACCATTACTCGAAATGTACTTAAAACCCACTAGTTTTGATTACATGCATAACGTATTAATGATTGGAAGGATAGCATTTGTCTGCACTCATCATTTCATCAGTTCCAGCATGATATTTGCAACATGCTTCTACTGGTTATTTTTCAGTAAAAAGGAGCCCTCGGTGGTGCAATGGGTTAAAACTTTGCACCGGCAGGACTGAAGACCGACAGGTCACAGGTTCGAATCCGGGGAGAGTGCAGATGATCTCCTTCTATCAGCTCTAGCTCTCCATTGTGGGGACATGAGAGAAGCCTCCCACAAAGATGATAAAACATCAAAACATCCAGGTGTCCTCTGGGCAATGTCCTTGCAGATGGCCAATTTTCTCACACCAGAAACAACTTGCAGTTTCTCAAGTTGCCCCTGACACTGAAAAAAGAAAGTGAAAAGAAATTTTGAAGGGAAGCTATTGGAACTGTAAGGAGTTGAGGATGCAGATTTTTGAAGACAAATGAGGCCCATGAAACTCAGGTGTGTGAAACTTGAGTTTAGAGCTTGAAAGGTCTGTGCCCAAACTCTAGCTCTGATAAATACAACAGTTTTACAAAAGTATATCATTTTTATCTCCTGTTTAAAACTAGTAATAATGATCCGCACTGTTAGAGGAATACATGATGAAATGTGGGAATTTGGTTACTAGTTTTGAGCTGCAATGATAAACATGTCTATGAATTTTTTAAAAAATGAAAGCATAATAGAAAAAATGCCTATTGAAATAGAATCAGCTATCAATTGCACAAGTCAATTTCCTCATCCTGTTTCAGCTTGGAAAATGAGGCTTGCTGTGATGGAAGATCACATTGAAGTTTCCTTCATGTCACACCCTGAGGCAAAGTTTTCAGTTCTTGTATGTCACAAGACTGAATCGTCTTCATGTAACTCTACTGGAATACATCAGCCAATTTCAGTGGTTTGTACAGCTTTTTATGTTGAAAATTTTACATTGGGGAAGGGAAATGTGAAGCGATGAAGGATTGATAGGGGTTTTCAGGAGTATGAAAGTGGGATCCTCAGGTGATTTGCTTCCTGCAGGCATCACTTTGCCTACTTCTCCTCTATGTGTTGTTGGACTGCATCTTTAATTATTTAATTGCTGCACATCAACAATTTCACAGCAGAGCCTAGCTATAATCCCACACACCAGTTCCTTACTGGAGGAGGAGGAAGAACTACTGCTAAGCTTTGACCTTGACACTCTTCAGATTTAGATATATCCATATAGAGCAAAATGAAAATTCAGTGTGCCCTAGCTATTACTGGAAAATCCTGGTTTGTAGCAAATTAATTTAGTAGTGGATTTATTTTGTGCCTTCTTGGCAGGCATGGGATAAATCCATTAAACAAGCTTGGCAAACTGTGGGAATTCCTCCCTCCCTCCCCCCAACCCCCAGACCCTTTTGAAAAGTTAAAAAACATACCACGCCTGCAGTATACCCTCGGAACAGCTTTCCCAGCACCCCCCGACTCTCCTGGCGTGTCATTTGTACGTGCCAGGAGAGCTGCTCCGAGGGTATACTGCAGGCCTGGTAAGTTTTTATTACTTTTCAAAACAGTCTGGGGGCTTGGGAGGGAGCGGGGGTAGGGCCTCCAGATGTTCTCTTGGGCTAGTCCTTGGGCTAGTTCTCTCGGGCACATACTTTCTGATGTGGGTATGGACAGGCCCCCAGGAAAATCCGCATTTTAAAACACGGATTCTCCTGGGATTAAAGGCCTGTCTGGATCCAGCCTTAGTGGTGATGAACACTGGGAGTTGCAGTTCAACAATGACTGAAGGGCCACAGAATTGTCTGATTTGGTTTAAGTAGAGCTGCAGAATATATTGAGATCTCAGTTCACACTGTCTTAATTAAAAGTGTGATTTACTGCTACATTTGTATCAGTTATATAAATTAAAACAAAACAAAACAAAACAAAAAGCAGCCTTTTCAACTGTAGGAAGGAGAAAGTCAAAATAACAGTCAATCAAATCTTTCATAGAAGCTTTTGTTTCCTTTCATCTATCTTGGGAATCAACATGTAGTTTACCAAGGCCGTTCAGCACCTGGGTTTTATTTAGATGTATTATTGGATTAGAACATCTGCCGTCTCAGCTATCATGGTGAAAAGAATAATAAGCATTACAATTCAATACATCTGGAGGACATCTGGTTGGCGAGGACTGGTCAACTTGTTGAGAACAAGTATTTTTCAGTAAATGATCGGGTCAACATAGTCAATTAACAGCTTGCAGAAACTGCAATATTAGATTTAGACTATAGAAACAGAATATATTTTGTGATTCAGTCCAAAGTAATCAATTAGTTTTCAAGTACATGGAAGCCGGGCTTTAGAGAACACTAAGAGATGAGATTGGTCTTGAACTATGTGCCCTAACTGAGTGGATGCTTCAACTGTATTTACTGTCTGGTAATCCATATGGTTCAAATAATAGCCATCTCAACATCTTATCATGAACAGTGCAGGTATAAACAGATGAATGTTAACAAAGGAATTGGCACAGCATCGGTAGCAGCTATCCAATTAACAAAACCAACATCCCATAGGAAATAGAGAATTGTACCTGCTTTTCATTGAGTTCCTTGCTTTATTCTCAGTGGAGACAACAGTGTTGAAGCTACTTTATGGCCATTCTATGAAAGGGAAATTTCCACTGACACAAATAATTGTTCTTTGTGAGATAGTAGAATGAATGTCATAGCCAAAAGAGAGAGAGAGAGAGAGAGAGAGAGAGAGAGAGATATGAAATGTTCTGATACACCTGCTGTCTTGAGGCTGATTGTTTCTTATTTTGCCATTTCTAGGTCGGACTAAAGTCAGTGTCTGTCAACATTTCAGAGAAAACATGTGGTTCCAACTTCTGCATTCAGGTATGTCTTCTTTCTTTCAGAGTTATCTTGTGGCAGAGTGCAAATAAAAACCAGCAGGGGAAGTCTTCCCTCTTCCTCCTTCCCTGTTGCTTGTGATTGTGGTATGGTAGGAATCTGCAAACAGCAGAATGAGTTGTTTAAATGTGATACCATCAACCCAAACAATGCCTTTCAAAGCTGTGGTACCAATCAGGTATGATTTGGTAAACAATCTATGAGTGCTAAACACCAGAAGCCTTTATAATCCCATCACCAAATGATTGCAAATACAATGATACATTGTTTGAAAGAGATAAAAAGGCAGTTTACAGCTGACAAAAAAGTTGAAGCTTAAATTGACAGATGCTGAACAAGCCAGAGAACTTCAAAGAAAGCAACCATCAGAATATAGAATATATGAATAGTAATTACATGTTTAATTGTCAAACTCTAGCAAGCACATACATCATTGCAAGAAATCACCATAAGGCCCCTTCTTCACTGTCATATAAAATCCAGATTATCCGGGTTGAACTGGATTATATGGCAGTGTAGACTCATGTAATCCAAAGCAACTAATGTGGACTATCTGATTTGATCATCTGGATTATATGGCAGTGCAGAAGGGGCTTAAATTAATGCGTTCCCCTTTCTAATCATATGGAATGTGAACCATATTGTACTGCAAAGTGCAAATCGATGAAATATCAACAGTGCAGAGACACCCTATGTTTCTCTGGAGAGAATCCAAAGTGAAGTAAATGTTCTGAAAATAACAAGAGGTAGTCATTGAATTTCAATCTGTCCTTTTCACAATCTTATTGAACTATTTATAATGTTCATGCATCTCTTTTTAGAGTTCAGTTCCTCCAGCATAAGTCTTTCTGTTTGTGCAGAGAACTGAAATCTTTTACACACTTACCTAAGAGTCCCAGGGAAGTTAATAAAAGTAATTTTGGAATCGATGTGACAGGCTTATGCTGTTTGTTTCTAAAGCACAAAAAGATCAGTCAAATTATTTGCAATGAAAACCAGTCCCAGAGAATACTGTTTCCTTGGATTTGTCGAAAACTATTGTATACTATTGAAACAAGACACAAAAGACCCGAGGCAAAATTATAAAAAAATTGTGAAATGGTCTAAACATTGCAGATTATTGTTCCTGACTCAAGTATAAATGTAATGCATCTAAACAGATCGTTTCTTAACAAGCTGCATTTGTTTAAAAACCAAGCGCAGCTTGTTAGGAAATTATCCATTTAAATCTTTGGATATGAGCTTTAAACAAACCTTTATTAACTGTTCTGTTGTTTCAAAGGCAAATAACATCTTCCATTTTTTTTCTTCCACAAGGGATGGAGAACAGATGTGGACTATTCTATCCCTTCATATATCTGTGATTTGCCTTGCAGTAAGTCCTGATAATGTACATCTATACCATCACCCCACAACATATGCCAAAATAGTTGGGGAGACAGAAGGGATTTTGGAGGCCAGTGTACTATACTTTATCTTATCTGAAGATTTAAACTTTACATCTACATTTAGGTATAAGATGGGGGCTTCTGTATGTTTGCACCCAGAATATGAGGGATCATTTAATGGTGAGCCCCGGGTGGTGCAATGGGTTAAACCCTTGTGCCAGCAGGACTGAAGTCTGACAAGTCAGAGGCTCAAATCTGGGGAGAGCATGGATGAGCTCCCTCTGTCAGCTCCAGTTCTCCATGTGGGGACATGAGAGAAGCCTCCTACAAGGATGGTAAAGCATCAAAAACATCTGGGTGTCCCCTGGGCAACGTCCTTGCAGATGGCCAATTCTCTCACACCAGAAGTGATTTGCAGTTTCTCAAGTTGCTCCTGACATAAAAAAAATCATGGTCGTAGTGTAAACTATATATCCTCATGCCTCCTTGAGCAGTGTGTATGTTTCTGAAATTTCCACAATGGCACTAAGATGAAGCAGTATTTCTGCTGTTATGAACATCTCAATCATAAGGTAGACAGCACCTAAGAGGAGAGATTGACTCAAACTAATAGTATCTGTACATAAACAAGCATGGAAAAATCACGAATATGGAACAGGCCCAAGAATAACCAAAGTCAAGCCATTATTTAGAAATGCCAAGCATTTGTACCACGGTGATTTAAATCCTTGAGCCTCAGACTAGTTGAGAATAATGCTACTGTTTACATGACATCCTGGTTATCAGCCAGTTGAACAAAAGGCAACAAGAGTAGAAGTTGTGTGGGGGTGTGGAGGAGCCTTGGCAGGGTGATTAGGCCTAAGATTCACATAGTGCTTATTTCCATCACCCTACCTCCCATTCTATTAGAGAGCGATATGTCTTTGGGATAGTTGAAAAAAGAGGGAGATCACAAAGGAAAGAACATGGTATTAACTGAAAGGAGTCCCGTCTACACTGACCACCTAGGTTAGTGTACATTAGGAACAGCCCTGTGGCAGCTACACACAAAATGAGGCTGATCTGTGACGACACTGGGAAAGCCTTGCCTTGCATTACTGGAAGTTGGGAGGAAGCCCAGATTCTGACTCAGCTTTCAGGCTTTCCCCCAACATAAGACCAGTGGAAATAGTTGGGCTAGTTCCCAAATGGAGAGGGACACAACTGTTCCCACTGCCATCCCATGTTCCCCAGATTCAGGTGACCTGGGGACATGGGATGGTAGTCCTCTTTTCCCCTGCCCTCTCATGTTGTAGCAGTCTCCAGCCATACCTCTGGACTTATCGGTTTCCTACTACTTGCCCTGATGGCAGCTGGGGCAAGGGGAAGTGCTGGGAAGGGAGTGGGGAGAAGAGGAAGGATTTCCTCTTTTCTCCCCTCCTTCTCTGTCTGTCACTCTGGCTGACATCAGGGCAAGTGACGGGGAACAGGAAGGTGCTGTGTCATGGCTGGAGACTGCTGCAACATAGGAGGTGAAGGGGGACACTTAGGGTGGCTGCTAGTTTGCATCTTACATGCCAGTGAGCAATGGGGACTGCTTCCTATCCCCATAGCAGTTAGACAATCCCTGTGTGGATTCAAGTGTCTGTGAAGATATGACTAGGGACAAGTCAAGGTTTGAGAGTTTCTCTAGTAAACCTCTTCAGGTATTTCTGAAGCCCTTTTCATTGATGGGTTTACATGATGACGATAGTGTTTCAATTTGTTTTTTGGAGGGGAAAAGCTAAACGTTGGTTTTCTTACTCATTTCCATGTCCACAGTGTCATATCACCTTGGAGCATTGTGGATAAATAAAATAGTGAGTTGCTGACAAATCCAAGTGTTCCATATGGGTCGACCAGCACTCATATTAATAATGTTGGGACACAGACATCCTGAGGGTTTATGTGTCCCTTTGCAGCAATTGCAATTGCTACTCTGTATTTCTGTTGTCAGCTTACTGTATTTCATATTATCAATATACGATGAAAGAGCAATAACTAATGATCTATTAGAAAGATCACAGATATCTAGGAACATTGACTTATCCTCAGATGCACATATTGACTATTAAAGGAAAACCTTTCACCCCACAGCCTCTTCTACTCGTGGCACGGGAATTTATGAAAATTCCTTTAGTATCCTACCTCTAGCAGCATTGCTTGCTATACTTGGGACTATGATGGCTCTTCTTGGACACAAACTTTTTTCAGGTACAAGAAGCATGAAAATTAGATGTGGAATGAATTTGGGAGAAAGAGGGATAAAGAAAAAAACCTGCAACATTAGGACTTTGGGGGCAAAGTAAAGAATAGATGGTGCAGCGACTTTATAATAATAAGGAAATACAGGTTGATCATCTCTTATCTGAAATACTTCAATATTTTGGATTTTTTTATTTTGGAATACTTGTATATACATAATGCGATATCTCGCAGATGGGATACAGGTCTAAATATGGAATCAGTTTACATTTCATATACATATACAGCTTACACACACAGCTTGAATTTAATTATATATATGGAATTAAAAATGTTGTGCACAGAACAAAGGTGCTGCTGTGTCAGCCATCAATGTGGATAAATGTGAGTATATTGTTTTCAGAATGTTTGATAAGGGATGCTCAAACAGTAATAAAAGGGGGGGGGGGTTCTGGTTTGGCAAATGCCCTAAAGTCAATAGATCAGTGGCTCTCAACCTGTGGGTCCCCAGGTGTTTTGGCCTACAACTCCCAGAAATCTCAGCCAGTTTACCAGCTGTTAGGATTTCTGGGAGTTGAAGGCCAAAACATCTGGGACCAACAGGTTGAGAACTACTGTACTGAATCCTTCCTAATCTTAAGCATGGTCCACTCTGGTTATTACTTGGATGGGAAACTGCCATGGAATACAAGCTCTATAACTATATTTCAGGAGAAGGAACTGACAAAACCACCTCTTAGTATTTATTGTCTAAGAAAACCCTATGACATTCATGGTATTGTCAAAAGTTGACTTAAAGGCACATACAAGAGGCACATTCTGTAGTCCAGAGTTTCTCAAACTGTACTCCTCCAGATGTTTTGGTATTCCTAACAGCTGGTAAGCTGGCTGGGATTTCTGGGAGCTGAGGTCCAAAACACCTGGAGAAGCACAGTTTGAGAAACACCGCTGTAGTCTGTAGAATGAGTTGCACTGTTATCAGGAGACAGTTGCAGAGATGTGCCAGCACCTTCACACCCTGCTGTTTATAGTTACACAGTAATGCTCAAAATACAACTGAGGATATTATGAGTAAACTTTACATCTCTATCATGCAAGTTCCCCTTGAGGCATGACAATGATAGCATGAGGAACTTTGTCATCCACCTGTTAGACCTTCAAAAGTGCTCTTTCTTCTAAATTGCTCTGTAACTATGTTTGTTTTGTGAAGCCTATTTATAGTATGCTTTACTGTGTTTTAGTGAGATATAAAATCCATGCCAGTAAGAGGAAGTAGAGGTCAAGGATTACGGTTGTTACCATATGATGATATTGCCCTGTTGTAATTTTTCAATTAAACACAGGAAGTGACAGAGAATGACAATTATCTCCATCTGTATGGGAGATGTATGCTCTGCCAGGCAGTGTTTGATGTCTAAGCTATTTGCAACAGAGAACAAATATGACTAGTCACTGTTGTGTAGATAAAAGCAGCTTTGGTTTTTTTGAGGTCCTTAAGAAAACATATATATACACATACTCACAAGCAGCTGAAGGAAATCAATCCAGAGATGATTTCATGATGACTGGTCAGAAGTTGTGGATTTAATGATAGATGCCAGGTGAAACTACAAGTGAAATTCAAACATTGTTTTTGATTATACTTCTTTGGTTACACGTTTAATTTCTAGCCCAACATGTGCCCAAAGCTACAGTTTCCTCCAGATTCTGGGGAAAGTTCTGAGCAACCCATGAGTTTGGTTAATGTGGTTCATGACCATGTTCAGCAGATTTAGTCTGCATTACTTGGATCAGCTTTGTGCATTGTTTAGCTGTCAAGGAGCGAATTCATTGGCCCTTTGTACAAAGTGGTCAGTGTAGATGTGCCCATAGGAGTGATGAACTAGTAATGCCTCATGTCTTCTTGGAGGTATCATATGTATAACTCATGACAATGATAAAGAGAACTTATGGAGATAGACAGCATTTTTGCCTGCTCCTCACTGAAAAATATTTGGTCCAGAAGAGTGTTTGAAAACATACTATTTCAATAATAAGCTTTACTGAGGCCAAGGGGTTGCCACTTTCTAAACAATTACACAACTATAGTTCTGTGTTCCACTTTAACTGCATTGACTACATCAATGAAAACCTGAATCTTATTATTTGGTCGGACACTTAAATTATCTGACTGAGATCCCAGGATTCTAAAGGAATGAATCATGGTATTTAAAGTGAAATAATAATGCTATAACTGTGTCATGTAAATGAGTCAAGGTCTAGCATAGTACACGAAGCGTAGCTTTCCATGGTACAAGAATTGCACAATTGATTCATGTATTTAATTTCATTCCATTTTGCTGTATTTAATTAACATTTCTGGGAAATGAGATGTTCAAGTTGTAATCTTATTGTCTTGCAGTTTTCCATAGGAAGAGAAATGAAAAGGAAAACAGATCACATAACACAATACAGAGGTGGGCATGTATTCTTTTGAAATAGCCTCTTGTCACTCTGCAGACTATTACTTCTGAAGCTATAGTACTTATTTATGAATCAGTATTTATAAGTCAAATATGAATAACATCATTTTAGAATTTGGGACAAATATTAAAAGTTTAATAACTTCTCAGTTAAATTCACAGGGACAAAGTGTTATAGGTATATGAACATTTTCAAATAAAATAGAAACTGCAAACATCTTATATATGATTGGTTTGGAGTGGAGTTAAGTATGTTTTAATAATTTTATCAGCTGCATACATGAAATAATTTCTAAAATACTGTTTTGTGTCTGCACTCTAATCTCTGACTTTTAATACTTATTTCCTATATGAAATATTGCATCAAATGATACTATTCAGTCTTAAGTGAAAACATCTTGAAGACAAAATTGAAGCAGAAAACCTTTCCTTAATCTTTATCATAGTAAAAGGCCACAAATAAAAACTATACGTTTTCATTGGGGATGCTGAAAGAAAAATAACTGATTTGTTTTCAGAAATAAAGTATCTTCAGTAATTTTAAAGCTTATGACATTGCTTAAGCTGACTTGATAGCTAGATATTTTGGAGCCAACATTGGATTTTTCATTTACTATTAGTTAGTTGACTTCATTATATTTAATAATGATGATGAAAATAAAACTTTATACCTCACCACCATCTCCCAAAAAGGACTCAGGGCAGCTTACAGAAGCACATACAAGTGCCATAAACACAAAAAAACAGGCAAAATCACATCAACATATTAGACAATGACAATATCAGTTCACATAAAACCAGCACTTTACAAAAATAAAAAACCCAATCCCAATTAAAATCAATAAAACATATTACTAATTGGCATTAAAATGAGTAGTACAACATCCCAGACACAGCCCAAATTCGACCATTAAAGTGCCAGTGTCAATATTATATCATTTGGTCCTTAGATTATCAGATGCCATAACCATTTCCAAAAGCCTGCTTAAAGAGCCATGTTTTCAGTTCCTTGTGAAAAACATTGGTGTGTGTGTGTGTGTGTGGGGGGGGGGGGAGCCTAATATCTCTTGGGGAGCCTCCACCAAGAAGGCCCTCTCTCTCGTTCCTACCAGCCACACTTGGGACTGAAGTGGGACTGAGAATAGGGCCTCCCTGGCAGATTTTAGAACCACGCCAGTACATAGGGGGAGATGTGGTCACAAAGATAGGCTGGACCTAATCCATATAGGGTTTTGTAGGTAATAACCTGCACTTTGAATTGGGTCCGAAAACTTGTCAGCAGACAGCGGAGTTGCTTCCATAGGGGCGTGTGTGCTTCCTATATTTAGCCCGAGTTAGTAATCCGACTTTGCACTAATTGCAGTTTCTGAGCCATCTTCAAAGGCAGCCTCACATAGAGAGCATTGCAGTAGTCCATTCTAGATGTAACTAAGGCATGGACCACTGTGGCCAAGTCAGGTTTTTTGAGGTACGATCACAGCTGGTGCACAAGTTTTAACTGTGCAAAGGTCCTCCCAGCCACCGCCAACACCTGAGCTTCAAGTGTCAGTGCTGAATCCAGGAGGACCTCCAGACTGTGGGCTTGTGTTTTTAGGGGGAGTGTAACCCCATTGAGCATTGGTTGCCACCCTATACTCCGATTGGCCTTGCGACCGTCCGGGAGGACCTCTGTCTTGTCTGGATTAAACCTCAGCTTGTTGACTCTCATCCAGTCAATCACATTTGTTAATTGAATCACTGTTAACCTCAGTAAATCATTCCAATATTTTACATAAATGCTCCAGTCTGAAAAGGGTCTTTTTATAGAGGCATAGGGAGATTTGCATCATGATTTTTTATGATAATTATGAAGCATCATGTAAAAAGGACTAGATTACCAAAGACAGATATCAAAGCAAATTCTGAGAGCATCCAAAACTTTGCATATGATGACAGCATGATGGTGGTTGTGGTAATGATGATGATGATAACGATGACAGTAGTTTCCCAGAAAAAATGTGCTAGCAATTCTTATTCAGCACTAACATGCTTTTCCCCTTTTTATTTGAATACATAAAATAGGGCAAAACTATACTGATACTTAGATAGCCTTTATATGAAAGAGACATTTTAAATTACAAGAAACCTAGCAAATGTTCCCTCCATTTCAAAGCAACTAAACTGAACTGCTTAGAATTTTTTTTCCCCTGATGCTTGGGCAAGCCAAATGATGTTTTCTTGTTTGCAAATGAAATAAAAGAAGATCCAGTATCAAAAATGTATTTGTTATTTAGTTATTAAGCTCTGCTACTATACCTTGGTGGCACGGTGCATTAAACTGCTGAGCTGCTAAATTTGTAGACTGAAAGGTTGCAGGTTCGAATCCAGGGAGTGGCGTGAGCTTCTGCCATCAGCCTCAGTTTCTGTCAGCCTAGCAGTTCAAAAACATGCAAATATGAGTAGATCAATGGGTAACGGCGCTCCATGCAGTAATGCTGGCCACATGACCTTGGAGGTGTCTACGGAAAATGCCGGCACTTCAGCTTAGAAATGGAGATGAGAACCAACCCCCAGAGTTGGACACGACTGGACTTAATGTCAGGGGAAAACCTTTACATTTACCTACTATACCCCAGTGGAAACCCTTCATGCCCGTTTTTAGGGCAGTTATTAACAGATTTCTTTCTATCTATCTACTTTTTCTTGGTTTAAACTATTCTCCATTGTTCCATTTCTACCGAGAGGAAGACATACATGTTTGGAGTACTTCCCTATGGGAATTTCCCACTGGTCATATTAACACAAAATAGAATTCTTCCTTTCAAACCTTGTTAAGAAATGTTCTCAAAAAGGGGGTTTCCTTTTTTTTGGGGCAATATGTCAAAATGGATTTTCTTCACAAAATTTTAATGACAAATGAGTACTCTAATTGATGTGTTCTATCTGTAAACAGAAAGTTATGAAATTGTCCAAATCCCTGCTACTTCAAGTGGTGGTCTGGGGACCAGTGCCAATCCACCAACCATCTGGTTCAGATGGAGAACTTCTAGGAAAGAAACAATTATAGCCAAATGGGATGAAATATGTTATGTGTTCCTGGCACATTGGGAAGAAATTGCTAGATAGCTTTAGAACAGTGGTCCTCACACATTTTAAGCAGAGGGCCAGTTCACGGACCCTCAGACAATTGTGGGGCCAACTACAGTTTGAAAAAAACACAAATGAATTCATCTGTATACTGAACATATCTGATCTGTAGAACAAAAACCATGAAAGAACAATACAATATTTAAAAGGAAGAACAATTTTAACCAGCATAAACATACCGGTATTTTAACGGGAAGCATGAGCCTGCTTTTGGCTGATGAGATAGTTATTTAGGCTTGTTGTTATTGTGTGCCTTCAAGTCATTTCAGACTTAGGGTAACCCTAAGTCTAATGTTTAAAGTGGGGGCCATGTAAATAACCTTGGAGGGCCACATCCAGCCCATGGGCCTTAGTTTGAGGACCCCTGCTTTAGAAGAACCCATCTGCACACTGTGAAGGTCTACATACCGTGAGGCATCAGATCCTGTCTGATTTTGGAAGCTGAGCAGGGTCAGCACTGTTTTGCACTTGGATAGAAGGCAGTCAATGAATAATAGGTGCTTTAGGTTATATTTCAGAGGAGAAGGAACTGACAAGTCATCCCTGCATATTGCTTGCCTAAGAAAACCCTATGAAATTTAGACAACTTGAAGGCACATATGTACGCATACCTGCTACTACTGACAAAATAAGTTCCTATAGGCACAACAGCATGGGCAAATGAAAATAATTAGCAGTCCCAGTTCTTGGTATAGACAAAGATGTCCACTTGCCTTTTCAAAGTATAATACTGTCTCTTTTTTTCTCCTCAGATTGAAGAGCACCCAATCTTCATATTTATGAAGGACAGCAAATAGTTTAGAATTTCCAACTTTTCACCAAACATCTCAGGAGACTGGAATTCTTCTCTGTTGCAAACTGTTACTTATGTGAATAGTCTTCACGTGCCAGTGGTCCTTACTGACTGCCACAAGGTCAAGTTTCTACAGAGTAAACTCCCTCATCATGCCAGACTTCTTCAAACCATTGCCTTCCAAATGTGTTCGGACTACAAAGTCTATAATCCCCATTAAAAACACTGCTCTGGTCAAATTGTTTTTCTTGAGAGCAAAGGTGCTCTTTAGATGTTGCCATATGTATTGTAAGAGTTGGTTCTTCATGGTTTCATCCCATGGCGTGCCACTACAAGCAATTGAAAGCCTACAACGTATAGGAATCTTTCTATGGAATGAACAGTTCTCCCCTTCTCTCCTAATGCATGGCCAGTGTAAAGAGAAATCTACAATTGTCCCTCACCACATCGTTGTGGACTTTCTAGCAGTGCCATGGGAAGAGCCTTTCAGGAGACAGTTCCTTGATGTTACTATGTATATAAGAAATGCCTCTGTGTATATAGAGTCTTGCTTTTGAAGAACATTTCATTGATAATATGTCTTTTTGTAAATAAGCAATCCTAGACTGTTCCAGGAGTTGCTGAATGAGAGACATTTTGTATCATTCTTTTCTTTAATCATTCAGTTGTTTAGTGTTTTTCTATTAGTTTATTATTTTGCTTTTTGAGGACAGAAACCTAAACCTCAGATGCATTTCATTTTTTAATAGTTGGTGTCATTTAACCAAAAACAGTATGTATTGTTGATAGAGTACTGGCCAGGAATTCAGTTCTATTGAATTTATGTGGCTCACTTTTCATTACATGTATTCATTCTTAGTTCTTATCCACAAATCAGTGAGAATCTGTTACAAATTAGTAGCCTGGGCTTGAATCTAAGTTACTCTTTTGAGGTCTTTGGTACCAATACCTTCAAACCTTCAGAGGTATTACACTATGCTGCAAACCTATATGCTATCTTGTCCTCTTGTATTCCATTTTGAATCCAAATTGGAATTCTGCTACTTGTGATGGAGGAGGAGAAGCAAGAAGATCGGTGTGGAAAGAAGGGGAATGAAGTCCAATATCGGCCATGCCTGAGAACATTTAAAAACTGTTGGCACACTATCTCTGGTCAAAACAGCATAACAAGCCATGTGTGGATAAAGAGCTCTTTGTTTTCCCCTCCTACCTTGTACTTAAATTAAATTATATCCTAGAATCAAATTAGGCTGTGATCTTATATACATTCATGCAGGAATATTCAACACAATAAAGCTTACTTTTGAGTATGTATACCGAGGGTCGAGAAAGCCCTTGTGGTCCTACCAGCTCTCTCATTCTATGATTTGTTGTTGTGTCTCTTCAAGACATTTATGACTTATGATGACACAAAGAGAAAGCTGTCATGAGGTTTCTTCGCAAGCTTTATTTGGTGTGTGTGTGTGTTGTTATTGTTCTTCTCTGAGGCTGGCAGAGTATCACTTGCCTAAGGTCACCTACAGGTTTGTATGGCTGATCAGAGATTCAAAACCTGGTTTCCTTGAGTCCTAGTCCAACATTTAAATCACTATATTACATTGTGGGTGGTTCTCCACTGTCATTTAATGCATGCAGACTGATGTAAGGTAACCCAGGGTAAGCGGTTGCACACCAGGTTAAAAACAAAACAGGGGAAGCTCTGAATGGTTATCTGTCCTGTCCTCTGCACCCCATATTCCTCAGCATTTACATGAGCTCCAGGATGTTTACTCCCTGATCCTGTCATGTGGTTGCTCCTCCCAAGCTGCTCAGTCACATGGCAGGACCAGGAAGCAAACATCCTGGATCTCAGGTAAGTGCAGATTCTTGTGTACTGGGTACTGAGGTGCGGGGAGACAGAATCTGGCCAGATTCCCAGCCATGCTGATGACTGAGTTCAGCTATCCGCTAAGACCTTGGGTCTCGAGCCCAGCATGCTTCGCTATCCCAATTACATTAAGTTCACATCAATCAAGTTCACACACTGAACTTGACTGAAGGCAAACAAAACATGGGTTTATTCTTTCAGACCAAAAAGGATGTCAGAAGAGAGCCTACACTCTTAAAGACCCAGGATACACAAAACAAAATACAAAATGTATTTATATACTTTTGACAGCTATTCAGAACACCAGTCGCTGATTGGCCAAAAACTGGCCAATCTAGGATCTGGGCTGTTCTTGGCTGCTGGCTCCATGAGGTGGTCTGGTGATTGGCCCTTCTGGCAGAGGAAAACTTAAGGAGCTATCATTTGTTGATTTGATGTGTGAGTCCATTTAAAGGTTCACACCAGAGTCAGCTGCAGCAATATGGAAAACAGTTCACAATGGGATTAATGGTCAGTTCAGTTTATGTAAAGGAAGAAGCACAATGGGTAGTTATGTTGACTGAACAGTTCAATGAAAGGCATAAACTGGTAATCCGTGTGCTTATTCTCAGGATCAGACAGCTCTGGATCTTATCAACAAACAGGAAAAACTTTATATGATGGTATTAATTTCAGAAGTTACACTTTCATACTACAAATGGCCGCAAGCCAGGCCCGTAACCGGTGGGGGGGGGGGGGGAGGGGCTTCAGCCCCCCCTGAAATTCTCAGGGTGGTCCGCGAGTAGGCCTTACTGGTACATTATTTAAACTGTTATGTTTATTCATATCATGATCTGATCACAATGCTCAATATATCCCATATGCATGGGGGTATTGGGATAATGATACAAAAAGTTTGCTGGGATAGATCCTGAGCCTCCCCGAACAAAACTCAGCCCCCCCCAAATTAAACTTAGTCCCCCCCCCCAAATCAAAATCCTGGCTACGGGCCAGCCGCAAGCCATTTGGTTACATCCATGTCATGGCTACATTCAAGCTTGACTCTAATGTTTCTAAGGTCATGCTTGTGACAGCAAAATACCTGTGAGCTGTGACAAAGTACTAGCCATACAACCAATTTGTTCTTAGAGTACTCTTTGGGCAACAAATGATGCTTACTCATTTCCTTTTGAAACAGCCACTTCCTAAAAAAATAACAGTGAAAAGGTAGCCAGAAATGCCTACCAGTGATTTGGTCATTATTAATTCTGACAATGAAGTCTAACAATGGCTACAAAATATTTAAAATGTACCTCCAACCTTGAGAATATGCCCATCCCAACATGAAGTGAAATTCGTCCTGCTATTGATTATAGTCTTTCCAAAAGCTTAAGTTTTAATAGAAACTTGAAGCAGCTTATAAAAAAAATTCGGATGTATAACAGCCATTATTTATACTTATAAATGACAATCATACCATGAACTCTACAAAAATACCAAATGTTTGCCATTTATTTCTTTTAGCATGGTCCAAATTCCTGTCAGGCATTCTCTATTTCTGATGTGTAACAAGGAGTGAAGTAAATAGACATGAAAATGGCAGGGTCTGAAACCATGTGGGAATACTTAATTTACTCAGGGAGTTGTTTACATAGGGGCCCAGAAAAGATGAAAGACACTCAAGGATATGAGAGTCCTGGCAAGAAAGGAAGCTCTTCCATCTGCATGAAATTTTGTCTCTGTTGTTTCAGAGGACACATTTTGGAGAAATGTGTAAATCCACAGCATATTGATGCTGTTGAAACATATGTTGCCTTTAGGGGGTTTCTTAAGAAAACGGAATGTTAAAATTTGAGTGCACAAAGTTAACACGTCCCAATGGTGGTTATCCCAAGCAGTTCAAAATGCTGCAGTGCTGGGGCTGGTTACAAGTTGAAAGAGATTTACTTGCCACCAGTTCATTTCCAGGCAGATTTCAAAGTATTCGGTATGACCTCTGAAGCCCTATATATTTTGGACTCAGACTACCCAAAATAATGTATCCCTATTGCCCTATAACAGCCAGATTGACTTCAAAGATCTCTGGCACACGCCTCGTTCTCAGTCCCACCATCATCTTGGGTGCTGTTGGTGAGAAAATGGGACAGAGTTTTTTCAGTGGCTGCTCCAAGACTGTGGAACTCCCTCCCATGGAAAATTTGCCTAGTTCCCTCCTTGCTCTCTTCAACCAACATGATTTTAATCATGTGCCAGAGTAGTATTCAAAATTTAACTATGTGTGCTGTCATGTGCTGGGCCTGTGAAAAGGTCTGTAGACAGGATGTGTTCTGTATGCCCAACGGGACGCCAGGGGTGCCTCAGATTAGAGGCCCTTTGGATTTCCCTAAACAAAGTCTTTAGAAACTTGGAAAGCTTAACAAAGTTCTTTATTATTGCTTAGGTCTTCAATAAATCAAACAAATACTTCAAGGCTTTGAATCAACTGGTGGCTTTCTTAATCTTGTCCACAAGGGACAGGCAACTATCTTCATGAACTGTTTTTTCTCTATCAGGGAAATCCTTGACCTTGACAGGTCAATCTGTCTTAGGTTTTGCTGGTGTGGGCCCCTACTCCCGGTCCAAATTGTGTTATGGCTGCCGGGAGTGGTCCTTACCAAACAGAGTCCTTTTGTAGATTTCCAAGAGGAAAGAAGGTCTTCAATTCCGAACAAAGGCTGGCTGTAAAGCTGTGGGACTGGATCCCCCCAGCAAAACTATGCTTCTCTGTAGAGCTGTGGGACTGGATCACCCCAGCGAAAGCTGTAAAAGACAAAGCTTTCTACAGGTGGAACTGATTCATGTCCTGTACGAAAGGCTTCTCTGTGTGAACTGAACTAGAGGTCCCCTTTTCCTCTCCTAAACCCAGAAAAAGGGGCAGAACTAAAGAACCTAATGATGATCGATGGGTCATTGGCCCTATAATTGCAAACCAAGTGAAGCCACCTTATTGCAAAATGCATGGAACCTTGGAATACATGCAAGCACTCAAAGAAAGAAAAAGAAGTTGGAGCTCCTCGTACAGACGTACCAGAACATTATGTATTAATAAACTTTATGTTTAATAACTGTAAACTTTTGTAATAGTACTTATTAGACTAAAATATCTACATTTTTAAGCTGCCTGGGTCCTTTGGCAGGCAAAAGACCGGATACAAATTAAATGAATGCTTGAGCGAATGAATAAATATACTTGTCTCTTACAGTATAATATGGAATGCTACGGGTAGATGGAAAATGCTGGGGATTGATTTGATGAGCCATAATAGGCTAGAAAAAAGGAGAACAAACTGAAATGTATTGCAGTAAATTAAAATTAAAGCCAAGCATTCATAAATACAGTTTTCATATCCAAAGTAAAGGAGTAGGCAAAGTGGCTAATAGAAAGTAAACATAGCAAAGATAAGATTTCTTAAATGTGAAAGATTTCCAACATCAATGTTTGAAAGAGGGAAGAATAGTGGGGGGAAGAATTCTCATTTGTGTTTTTTTTAATGTCATAAGCTACTTGAGAAACTGCAAGTCGCTTCTGATGTGACAGAATTGGCAGTCTGCGAGGATGTTGCTTAGGGGATGCCCAGATGATTGATGTTTTACCATCCTGTGGGAGGCTTCTCTCATGTCCCCACATGAGAAGCTAGAGCTCAACAGATGGGAGCTTACCCCACTCCCCGGAGTCAAACCTCCAACCTGTCGGTCGACCAGTTCTACCGGCACAAGGCTTTAACCACCAGGGGCTCCAATATTTCTGGGTAATGTCCTTATACATTTCTCTCTCTCTCCCCCCCCCCCCTTTTCCTCAAGATTATGCTGGGGTGTAATTACAAGGAGAGAACTTGGGCTGCATTTTCCAGAGCTGTTCTCCAGAAACACCCTTTTGGAGCTCTATTCTAATTTGGGTTTGAGGTGCAGCTGTTTCTTGCAGTCTTGCATGGTAGTAGCCAATCCTCTTCAAGTTAATTTTCAAAGCAGCATATGTCAGTTGTCAATGTTTTATTTATACATTTCCCTACCATTTCGAATGTTTTGACATCTCTTTAAAAGCATCTGTGGGAATTCAAGTCCAGATGGCCAAAGTTTAAACCCAACAGCGCAGTGATGCTAGAGTTCAATTTCATATATAGTTGCCAACTTACCCCCACTCACTCCCCAACAACAACAAAAAAACTCTCACCTTAGCCTGCTTTGAGGCAATAATTTGAAATGCAGAAAATCACAGCTGAACTCTCCCCTCACCCCTAGAATGGAGACAAGCACAATCCACTGATAAAGATGACTGCAAAGCATTAGGAAGAAGGATTTTCAAATCTTGGTGACCTCCCATGCCTGTTGATGAAGGTTGCATCTATCTATTGAATATATAAAAATATATACAGGCAGTCTCCAAGTTACAAACAAGATAGGTTCTGTAGGTTTGTTCTTAGGTTTATTTATTGATTTATTTACAGTATTTATA